TAATGCAGAGATTTTCTCTATTTTTCCAATTCAAGAGGATAGTTTTCTTAGCGATGCATATGGCAGTCAGAACCACGTGAACCAAAGATTTTTCAATCGGGACATCATCCAGGTTTCCCAGTAAACAAAGAGAGGGGGTGATTGGGATATGACATTTCAGAGACTTTGACAGGTCTTCACATACTCTACCCCAAAATTCCTGGACAGGTGGACAGGACCACAGTGCATGAACGTAATTGTCAGGAATGTTGTTTGTGCAGTGTGTACAGATGTCAGACGACACAAACCCCATCTTGAACATCCGATGACCTGTATAGTGTACTCTGTGTAGAACTTTGTACTGAATTAATTGTAAATTGGGGTGTCTGATCATTTTAAAAGTTTTTAAACAAGTTTGGGACCAGAAGTCCTGGTCAAAGCTGACTGATAGATCCACCTCCCATTTTTCAATAGGGATTGCTATTCTATCGTCTATTTTGGACAGTGTCTTATATACTTTAGACAGTAGTTTAGGGGGTTTGAGATTGCAGAAGTCTAAAACCCTTGGCGGGGTTTGTAATTCTATTTTATTGAGCTTAAATTTTTGTTTGACTACAGATTTGATTTGGTGGTATTCTAAAAAGCTATTCTTTTCTATTCCAAATTGGGAGACTATTCTATTAAATGGGATGAAGTCCAATCCTTCATATATGTTTTCCAGGTATAGGATTCCTTTATTTTTCCAGTCCAGAAGGTTCATCATTTTATTATTTTGCAAAATATCAGGATTATTCCAGATAGGTGTGCGTCTGCATGGTACTAGTGAAGACTCTGTCATTTTAAGATACTCCCACCATGCTGTCAGAGAAGTGCTGATACTAATACTTTTGAAGCCTTCATGTTTTCTTACGCTTGAGCTAATAAATGGTAAGTCTGAAAGCTCTATCGTATTGCAAAGTGTCTGTTCTATATCTAACCAGGACTCGTCTAATGGGTTATCTTGCAACCATCTTGGTATATATTGCAGCCTGTTGGCTAAAAAATAATAATAAAAGTTGGGTAGATCCAGTCCTCCTCTGTCTTTGCTCTTCTGAAGCGTTTTTAAGCTAATTCGTGGAGGTTTATCCTGCCAGAGGAATTTGGTAATTGAGGAGTCCAGAGATCTAAACCAGTCAGCTGGTGGTTTGTTTGGGATCATTGAAAATAAGTAATTTATTCTGGGTAAGACCATCATTTTAATTGTAGCAACTCTTCCCATCAGTGATATTGGTAAGGATTTCCATCTAGCAAGATCATCCTCCACTTTCTTTAAAAGTGGGATGTAGTTTAATTTGGTTAGATCTGCTAACTTGGGAGAGACATTAATTCCCAGGTATGTGATATTACCTGACTCCAGTTGAGTATTAAGTAAATTGACAAAAGAGAAATTAATTGGTAGAACTGTTGATTTTAACCAGTTTATAGAGTAATCTGAAACTTTTGAAAAAGAGTTTATCAGTTCTATTGAATGAGACAGAGACGATTGAGAATTCTGGAGGAAGAGTAAAACATCATCTGCATAAAGACTGATCTTATGTTCTATTTTATTACACTTTATCCCTTTAATACCTGTTGTTTGCCTAATTGCTGCTGCTAGTGGTTCGATAAAGATAGCAAACAGTGAGGGGGAGAGTGGGCATCCCTGCCTGGTCCCCCTCTGAAGACAGAAGCTAGCTGATATTTGGTCGTTCGTCCTAACACGTGCAATTGGTGAACTGTATAATGTTTGTAGCCAGTTTATGAAGAAGTTCCCAAAACCAAATTTATGTAAAGTTGCAAATAAGAACTTCCAGTTAACTCTATCAAAAGCCTTTTCTGCATCTAGAGATAATATACTAGTTTCTATGTTTCTACTGTAAGAGAAATCTATCAAATTAAGTAATCTACGCGAATTAGTGGACGATTGTCTACCCTTTATGAAACCAGTTTGGTCAGGGTGTATTAAGAAGGGGGTTACCTTCTCTAATCTTTTTGCCAGGGCTTTACAAATTATTTTGAGATCAACATTAATAAGAGAAATTGGGCGATAGCTGGTTGGAAATGCTGGGTCTTTGCCTGGTTTTAACAAGAGACTAATATTGGCTGAGTTCATGTTTGGCTGTAATCTGCCGCTCTCTTCGATTTCCCTCACCATTCTGAAAAATGTTGGAGCCAAAATGGTCCAGAATTCTTTGTAGAACTCTGCTGGGAACCCGTCTGGACCTGGAGCTTTCCCATTAGTCATGGATTTAAGGGCTTCCTGGAGCTCTGCTGATGTTAGTGGCGAGTCCAGGACTGCAACTTGGTTGTCTGTTAATTTAGGAAGTGTTATCCTATCAAGGAACTCATCGATCTCGTCATCTGATGGGTTTATCTGTGGTGAGTACAAAGTTTGGTAAAAGTCTCTGAAAGTGTTGTTTATTCTTTCAGGGTCATAAACTATATTCCCAGTTGAGTCTTTAACAGCAGATATTGTAGTTTTCTCTTTATTAATTTTTAATTGGCTGGCCAGAAATTTACCGGATTTATTACTATGTTCAAAGTTTTCTATTCGTAGTCTTTGTGCTAAAAATTGTGTTTTTTTGTCAATAATTCCATGAAGTTCTAATTTAGCTTTACGTAATTTGCTCAGTAACTCTTCTTCTGTGGATGTCTCTAAAGACTTAATGATTTCTTCTAACTCCTGGATACGTTTATTTTCTGTTTTTTTCTTATGTGATGAGAAAGAGATTATTTTACCTCTCATCACTGCCTTTCCTGCCTCCCAGAGAATAGATGCTGATGTTCCAGGCAGGTCATTATGTTCTAAATATAAAGCCCACTCCTTTTTAAAAAATTCTATAAAACCTTCATCTTTAAGCAGTGATGTATTAAACCTCCAGTTTTTGCTTGGTGGGATTGCTTTCTTGTTTACTAGAGTTAAAGAAACCGGAGCATGGTCGCTGACAACAATAGGGTGTATCTCAGTGTCTGAAATGTCAGCCAGCAATGAGCTGCTGACTAGAAAATAATCCAAACGTGAATGAGAGTGATGGACGTGTGAGAAAAAAGTATACTCTCTACGGTTAGGATGAAGAGATCACAGGTTTTTTTTGTTGGTATTTTTGAAAAACGATTGGATTGAAGTCCAGTCAGGTCTATGTCAGACTGAGAATTAACCTTCGTGGACTCACTCTTCTTGGCTCATGACGGGTAAGGCTGTTGTTGGTTTAGCATCTAGGAGAGAGCAGCGTGCATCTCGGCTAATAGAAGCTAACTAACTAACGTTCAAGTAGCAGCAGTCCTCTCACAAAGGTGGATATCATTGGGCCAGATAAGTGTGTGTATCTGAGGGATATTATATGTGTGGATTTGGGAAATGTGGATGGGGAAGGGGGAACAGTCTATTTATGAGTCTCACGGCCTGTGCAAAGAACCCATTTAGCATACTGGTGGTTCTGTAATTGATGCATAAAAGGGGTGGAAGGGGGCGCTGATAATGGGAGATCGCTCTGCATATGCAGATCTCTTCCAGGGACGGAAGAGGGGCGCCAAAAGTCTTAGTTGTACCTTTGGCAATCCAGTTGAGTTGTCGCTTCTCCTTGGACGTGCAGCTGCCAAACCAGAATGTCAGTTCACAATCAGGCAAGATGTCCAAATATCAGGAAATAAGACTCCAAATCCTGTCATCTTCTTTTCATCTCCTATTTGGCTTACTTGTACTTCCTGAAACAGGAGTGCCAGAGCTTTTTCTCACAGAGATTGACTCACAAGTCATAGATTTATAGTAGAGAACACTGGGAATGCAGCAAACAAGTTAGTGAACTTGGTCTTTAAATAAATTGATCTGGTATTCCCTATTCATAATCTCTCAGTTCTGCTTCTTGATAACTCCTCATGTCTAACAGCTCGTTTTCTCCCCAAGAAGGTTAACAACATCTGAGAGGACTGAGTAACCTTCTGAAGTAATGGGCAGTGTTTTACTTAGAGGTCAGAGTCAGCTCCTGACAGATTTCAGAGTCACAATCACATTTTTGTCATTGATCCAGCATCCCGGTACAACGAAATCTCGTTCAGCACAACCCGTCCAAGAGCAGACATGCAGCACATAAAAACACATAAATGGAGATAGACTTGATATTCAAATCAAAATAAAAAAATTCATAAAGAATAAAGAAATGCTGACCTCCACAGGCCCTGCACTGTCAGCAGATTTCATAGCAGATTCATTGAGACGTCGTTTTGTTCACATCCTCACTTTTTTGGGAATAGATGACAATTACATCTTGTTTTTAAATGATGCAAAGAGAGAGGTTTGTAGGGGAGTCTTTAGTGGAATGGTTTGTCTGAATATCACTGCAAAGTGAAGCTTCAGCAGAGAAAGGCAGATGGAGTACTGCATACGTTTGTTTATGGTTGAAGTCAAGGAAATTATCACAATAAAATTATGAAATACCATCTCTCTCTCTCTCTCTCTCTCTCTCTCTCTCTCTCTCTCTCTCTCTCATATTTCTCATATTTGTGTGTGATGTATTTACAGACCATCATCACCAATTATGTCAACTCATGAGTTCACAGCCCTTTTCTACCCCTCTCAGTACAATCTCTCTCTCTCTCTGCAGGAGAGTGTAACTAAGTTTTCACATCTTCCTCATTTCTTTTCTTTGCGGGGGATTACTTCAATTAAAATGACAGGTCTACGGGATCAGCTCCTGCTGGGAGTTTCATCCTTTCTGCTGGCAGCCTTCTTTTTATAGTCTGAAAAGACTGAACATGTTCCAACAGGCGCTCCGGTCTTTTGTGGAGGGGTTTCTGGGCATGTCAGTCACCAGCAGTAGGCATTTGCTGCACTGCAGGGTCAGAATGCATAACAGGCATCTGAATACTTTTTAGACCACTTACCAACACTGTAATGTTTTAACCAACCTCCTAGTTAACTCAACGGTCTGTGGCTTTTTACACCGGTGTGCAATTTTTAGAAGACAGACTTTCTTTACTTATTCTGCTTTTTTTCTGCATCACAGTGCAACCAGAAGGCACGAAGGAGGGGCCCACTTGCATGGACAAGAATCACGGGTGTGCACACATCTGCAGGGAAGCACAGAAAGGTGGCATCTCCTGCGAGTGCCGACCAGGATTCCAGCTCACCCGTAACATGAAGGACTGCAAATGTAAGTTTGTTCACCGACCCTCGGATCACGGCTAACAGTTGGGAAACAGGCTGGTGATGCAACATCATTCATTCCACACACAACTGCTTCAAAAGTTTGAAGTTGGCATTTATGTTGCATCACCGAGCTGTTACTAACCTCAACAATCCTTGTGAAACAAATACTAACAAAACCTGGAAGTTTAATAAGAGGAGAGTGTGTGTGTGTGTGTGTGGGGGGGGGGGGGGGGGGGGGGTCATTTACACAACTGGGACAAGTGTGGAGGTTAGTCGAAGGGGACAGCTCTGACAGACAGCACACACTTCCTGTTGCTGTGCAACAGAGATCCTCCTGTCAGAGCTGGGGCCAGGGCTGATGGGGGATTTGTCTGTGTTTGGATAAGGATCGGAGAAGTGTTATTCTATAGTTTTTCTGTGACAGCCCAGGAAAAGGGCAAAAGGTGTTAGGATAGTAAGGTGCAGACAGAATGACGATAGAAGCCTCGGCTCTATTGTGCTTCTTGTTACTCCGTCATCACAGGTGTGTGAAACGAGTCAGTGCGCCTTTAAGTTCTGCTTTATATGCATGTATGTACTTAGATTAATATGCAAACAGGGAAACGTTTTAACAGCAGGATTAATGAAAGACATTTAAATGAAAACAAAATTGGAAACATGCTCATTTCTTTTACATTTGGAGTTAAAAATGCTAACTCAGCAGCTTGATTTGCTCATGTTGGAGTTTTAAAATTTGATCTCAGGTTCTGGTTCAGTTCTTTCGCTGCAATGAATTTTTCTCATTTCTTAATTTTTGTTCATTTCTTATTTGAATGTGCATAAAGTAAAAGGCAGTTTTACTGTTTTGACTGTCAGCTGCAGTAATTATCTGTTCAGTAATTTTGTCATCAGAAAGACAAAAAATCAAACATAAAACACCAAAGCAGGAATGTGTTCATCTGTCCTGCACCTAAGTTGTCCGTGTGAGCTGCTTAGTTCTTAAAAACATATGAAAAGGTCTACCGTCATCTTGTGATGATAAAAGTGCAGTATAATAAACAATAAAATAAAAATAAACATTTTGTTAGGAAATGTGTTCCTCTGGCTCTTCAATACATTTGGTTGATATAGAAAAGCCAGTTTGCTGTGGGAGTCCACAATCAGTGGAGACACAAAATTGTGATCATTCTGAGTTTTTATTGCAGGCTAAACATGAAAATAGTCTCCTACACCTATCTCTTACATTAGCATCTGATAGAAAATCAATGGTGAAACTTTAGGATTTGAAAATCCTGACAGATCTGCATCGCACTTATAACTTTCATGGACTCACCCATCTTTACTCACGACGAGGAAGGTTGTTGTTAGTTTAGTGTCCAGGAATCAGCAGAGAACGTCTCGACTCGTAGAAACTAGTCAGCATTAGCATCTCCCCCACACAGCAGAACTCCTCAGGCTTGTGTTATTTGTGCAGATAAAATATCAGTGTTGCAGTGCAAACACAATCAGTGGTAAAGTCGTGTTGCTGTTAGTCAATCAGAGGCAGGATGTCCAAATATCAGGAAACAAGACTCAAAATCCACAGACAGCCTACACGTAGACGCCCCATGGACTTGCACTGCCTAATGGAGTTGGCACAGGGGTTCCCATTCGCCCCCAGTGCATTTATTTCTACTGAGGAAGGTGCTTATCCAACTAAAAACCACATTTTATTATGCTTTTTCATAAAGGCATTATGGTATGGCATGAAATTTAAAATATAAATAAATATCAAATCACAATAAGTAGGCTGGAAAAGTCAGTAGTAATCCCACGTGATCTGTTTTCAAGTGTGCCAGTTTGTTGCAAACGTAGGCTGCACACAAAAAACAGGCATAGTTGCTCACTCTGCTTGGACTCCAGTTTGGTTTGGAGAGGGAGGAACCCACCCACTATGGCGGCAACGCTGTTACGCTCTCCCACGCCCAATGGGGGTGTCTACGTATTCATGTCTATGCTCCAAATCCTGCCGTCTGAATACTTTCTCCTCCAGCTGACTTGTACTGAAACCGGCGGATCTAAGGCTATCATTCCCACTAGAAACCACTGCAAATGTAAAACAAGTGAACCATACCTTTAATTTTGTCTGCATTTGTTTGTACTTTGTTCTTATTTTATCCACCGGCCCCTCCCTAAGTTGCTAGACAGAAACTGGACTTACAGATGCACGCAGCAGCTACACAACTAAATTGCCAGGAAAGTTTGTCACGTAGATGTTTTGGAATTTTTTTTTTTAAATTTGCAGTTTATAGGACAAAATGGTCAAATATGGATGGTCAAATATCCATGAAACGCTTTTCTGTGCTCCTCCTTGACTTACGTTTGTGTTAATGCCTTTGACAGTGACGTGTAACTATGGTAATGGAGGATGCCAGCACATCTGTGAGGAGACAGACCACGGTCCTAAATGTTCCTGCCACATGAAGTTTCTTCTGCACAGCGACGGGAAGACGTGCGTAGGTGAGTGATCTCAAATGCTAGGAGCTAAAATTACATCACTGTAAGAAAACGTCAAATGATGCAAAAGAAAAATCGGGTTTGACACAGGACTTAGATTTCTGTAACTACATTGCTAATTATATTTACGGATGCGTGACATACAAGGTCAAAAGGCTGCCACTCACGTGCTTCTTCTTCTGCTACTTCAGTAACATCTCCATCCCTGCATCTGCTTTTGCTTCTCCTCTTCCTGACTTCCTGCTCTTTCTCCTCTGATTTTCAAAGTTTTGTCAGAAACACACATCCTCTATAAGCCCTTGGGTCATTTCCTCCTCTGCTTCCTGTCTGGGATTAACTCACACACCTGACCGGCATGTAGCCATGTTTGTCTGGGCTGACTGAAAATCATTCAGCTAATCCGGCACGCTGAGATGTCACGAAGGGCACATTTTATTCAGACTGAATCCCAAAGATATTATGATGGATGAACTAGGAAGTTCTTCACTGAAGTTGGGTGAGTGTGAATGTGGGCTGGACCAGAACCTCTGCTTTATCTCAATATTCAGCTATTTGCTAACAGGGCAAACCCTTCCAGTCCATCCTGCCTGTGATGGCAACTGAACTGAGCTGGATGGGAACTTTTTTCTTTACAAACACTAACGCAGAGTTTGGAATGTGCTCGCAGTGGAGCCTGGAGACGTTGCTGCTTGGTTTTGGTGGCTGTTAAGTTTGAGAGCTTGGTTTGAGCAGGGCCTGCTTGGCTCCGCGTTTCTGGATCCCTGTCAGAACCACAGCCCAGATGAGAGCCAGACCCATGTCAAGGTCTGGTCAGCCAACCTGTCATTATTGCCGTACCCCAGTAGGCCAAGATGATACCACCAAGCTGACCTCAACCAAATTATATGTCTTTGCCAGCCTTATTCAAGGCAGAGCAAATGTGCATTTGTTGTGCCAGATTAGGAAGCACTCAGCCAGTTCAAATGTCTGATTTCCCCCGCAGAGTCTGGGGTTTCAGCGGCGGGAGACTTCTCCACAGTCGACTCGTGCCTGGTCCATCTCTCTGACTCTGTTACTTAATAAAACCTCAGTAAAACAAAATCTGTCAGGAGAAGGTGGATGATCCCAAAACCTCACACTAAATCTGCGTTCCTTAACAAAACAGGTTTACAAAAAGGAGACATGACAACTTGCTTTACCTTAAAGTGACGGTGTATATTTTCCCTGGCGATAGGGGGAAGTATATACCTAGATCACTGAAAGAAAGCTGTATTTTTGTGTTTGAGTAAGACCTTACCAACGGATTAGGGTCAAAAATCCCTGGGAGTGCATTTTTAAAACAAGTACTTTGCCGCATCGCAAAATGACAGCACCTCAGACAACCTTTCATCACTGGCACAGAGCGAAGAGGTAGATGTAAAACATTTATCAATGGTGAAAGTTTTGTAACTGCTTGTTGCTAGTGATGCAACAGATAAAACAACTCACGGTTCGGACGCCACAGATCACATCCTTTTTCAGATCAGCAGCTCTCTACTTTGTACAACACTTAGTGCAACATTTTTCTGCTCAGTTTGCAACTTTCTATAAAAATATAAGTTACAGAGCGGTCCAAATTCTGATTAAAGCAGCTTGCCTTTCCTCCTCTTTTACAGGTTTGTCCCCAACAATAGTAATGTAATAAATGACCCAGGCATTTTGCATTTGCCACCCCCTCTCTGCTGTCACAGCGGTCGGAGCTGAGCGGCGCTGCGCCGTCAAACTGGAGGAACACGCGTGTGTGTTCATTTTTGTGTTCATTATACAGGGAAACCAAAAGGCTCCCATACATGAGACTTAAACGATGCAGGTGGTTTTTCAAGCCCCTGTCCTTCTTCGCCATTGAGCACCGCTGTGCTTTACTTGTTTGGATTGAACAGGTGGCGCCTCGTCCCTCCATGTGACCGAACCATAGAGAGAGATCCGTGTGGATCATGTTTCAAATAAGAACTTGTGTTTTGTTCTCAGAGACTTAAACCCGCTCCCACATATTTTAGACCAGATTTTATGGTTATGTGTTTCAAAGCCGCCAGTAAAATTGGGCAACATTGAATTCATTTTCAACATTTCAATAGATATTTCCAGAGATCAATGGTAAAAGCTACACATCGTCTCTTTAAGCCAAACTAATTTTCATCCAAGTGTTTAAAAATATGCCACAAAAACATACAATACTTGTAACATTTGTGACATTTTAGCATGCTTTCATTAAAATGAGTATTACCTCTAAACAACATCTAATGAAACAAACATTTGTTCTTTATATTGATTGAGAGATGTTTGATTCATTTGTAGCCTTTATTAATTGAATCATTCACATAAGAACCAAAAACAACTTTTTCTTCTCTGTATTCTTCAGTTTGCTGCAGCTTCCATCCTGCAGGTGTCTGTTTTGTACCTAGTTCAGGCGAGGGTGTCATTTGCTTACGCGCTAACCAGAAAGACTCTTGCTGCTACCAGTTGGGTCGTAAGACCTCACAGTTTGCAGAAGTGGCTGGGATCTGATAGTGCTACAACTTGCTGAACTTCTGATGGATTTGTGTCTGTTCAACCTGTCTTTTCTGGGAATGACCTTGCCAGTCTTCAGTCCCAGGACCCTGCTGTCAGCAGGATGATCCTGTACCTTTCTGATCCAACAGCTCATTTACCTCCTTCTGTCAAGCTTGACTCCGTTCCTGAGCTCTGTGCTCTCTTTTCGTGTTCGTGTCACGCTGAGAATGGTTGAAGGGTTGCTAATGCACATCTTCCAAGCCTCCATTGTCACCTGTTCTTGTGGCACCGCAGTCCCTAAGGGGGGTATGATCACGCAAGCTCATGGCTCTCCTTCTGCTGGACACAAAGGTGTCAAGGCCACGTTCGGTGCCCTGAGCCAGGTTGCTTACTGGCCAGGGTACATCAAGACATCTCAGACTATATCTAGAGCTGTTTGGTTTGCTGTCAGTTTCAACCATCAAACCCCATCCACAGAGCTCCTCCACAAAGCCGGGAAACGTCCACACCATGGTCTGACCTACAATTTGATTGGGTGGGGCCCCTGACCAAGTCTAGCAGGGGTAACAAATACTTCTTGACCGTGACCTGTGCATTCACCAAATGGGTTGAATGTCTACCAGCACCAAACGACACGGCACAAAAAACTGCTGTCCTTGTGATGAATCACATCATCTCCCGGTTTGGTCTCCCCGCACATGTTAACTCGGATAGGGGAACTCACTTCACCTCGGAAGTGATGGAACACCTTTGGCTGATGTTGGGGGTGAAGGCCATTTTCCACATTCGTTACTGGGCCCAGTCTTCTGGCCAAGTTGAAAGGATGAACCGGAATCAAATGTTTGAATAATTTGTGATTAAATCAATGAATTTAAAATGAGAATTGTTCTTAAATTTGATTTAAACATCTTGTTCATTCAACACATATGATTATTTAAGCTTATGAGTTGTAAAGTCATGTAGGCTTCCAGTAGGTTCACTTTATTCAGAGTGAAGAATGTTGAAGTCTGGCTTCACCCAGAGATTGCAGGACCTTTGCAGTGTCAAGGTGTCTTTGCACACGAGGACACTGTCCTTCCTTGGTCAAAGAAAATGGTTAAATGGAACAGACTTGCATCACGTGACCGCGGCTTCCACGGCGGTCACGTAACATCACATGACACTTGAGACTACGTTATATTTTATACATATCCGTTTTAATATAAATATATAACAAGCCTTTTACTTTTTAAATTGTGTATATGTTTATTAAATTAAACATTTAAGTGAGTTACTACCTGCTAGCCACCGAAGCTGCAACTACTAACCAACAACCAACCAACCAACTAACTTTGGTACGTTACAATCGCAAATAGCAGGCAGATGCAGACACACTCAAGAGTTCAGTCAAAGAGCAGGAGATGCTTTTTATAAAATCGAGTCATGTCAATGCAAACAATCACTCAATGCATCACCTGCAAATACACATGTGTTTACAGGCATATTCTCATATAAACACTCTGCTCTAATTTCGGGTGGTCTATTCGTTGAAGCCGGGGTGTTCGAATAGAGCTCGCTGTTTCTGGACACTGCTTGTTGGGTGAGCAGAGGTGTCAAAAGTATTCACATTCAGTTTTAAAATGACTTCTGTATAAATCGAAGCATCAATTCTAGCTTTTTACTTGAGTAAAAGTAAAAATGTACTGGTTTCTAAACTATTTAAAGGTGCAATAAGTAATCATTTTCAACTGAAACAATCACAAAACAGTCTAATGTCTCCATCATTGAAACATTTCCTCCTCAGCTGGGTGGGGGCTGATAAGTTTGTCTCCTTTTAAAAAGGCCAAAGAGGGATGTGATCTTTGTTTACAACGTGTCTCGCCTCCACACTTCCTGGTTCCAGAGCCAATCATATGTGAGCCTGTGTGGCTGCCATGTCTGCACCAGCATTTGCAATTCAACACGAGCGTTGTGGAAATAATGTTAACAAGTAGCAGGAGCAACCCTCAGGTCTTACGGAGTAGAAAGTACAGATAATTGAGAGAAATAGTGAGGAGTAGAAGTAGAAAGTTGGCAAAAAAATGGCTCCAGTGTAGTATAGATACACAAAGTTCTTCTTAGTGAGGTAATGAAGCATTAGTACTTTGTTATTTGACTTTAGTGGGTGCGGGACATATTGATGAATCCAGCATGCTTTGTGGGGAAACTTTTCTCCCTTCAGCTTCTTTTTTAAACATCTGGGTCCTCAAAAAACACAAGCGGTTGTCACAACAATAATTAAATCAATAAAAAACCACATAGGGGGCTGGGGAATGTCATTCATCCTACAATATCTGAGCACAGAGTAGATCAAATATTGGGTTTGTTGCAAACCTTAAAAATAGTCTTTAAATCCAATATCTGACATGAGATGCTAATATATTTCTGCCATAGAGTTTAGCAAACGCACAGGCCACTAACCTTGTTTTAGCGTGACAGCCTAACAGCGTGAAACTAAAATGATCTGAGTGTAAACAACAATTTAAAGTGCAGATCTGAGACTGGCTGTCCCTGACTTTCTGCTTGCAGCACTAACAACCCCTCGACGTGTCTGGCTCACGGTGCTCATACTAACAAGCAGAAGCCTCCTCTTGCACGCAAACATCAAAACGGCTCTTTGTCTGCACTGTGTGGAACGTTTATTTGCATGGCTGCATGTCGCAAGGTATCACTTTTGCCTTGAGATGTCACTCTTTTCAGTTTAAACATAAAAACTGTCATCGGTTTGTTGTCAGGATTCGGTGAACAGTACCTGTTCAGCTGGAGTTAGCAGGAGGCTGGTTTGTTTTTTCAGAGGTGTCATTTTATCTCAATGTTGTCATCTCAAGTTGGCATAAACAAAGAACAAAGATAAAAGATTTAAAGCAGAAATAATCTGTTATATTTATTCAGATCACTTTGTCAGCTGAAAGTAAATGTATGATTTATCATTTTATCTAAATCAATGCAGCAGTGTAGGAGCTTCCTGTTAGACAAACGATGTGGAATCAAAACCTTTTACACTTAATTTGATTTATGTCATCATTGCTGAACAATGTTCACATGATGTGGAAAAGAAGCTTCTAGTATCTGGAGTTTTATTGGGGTTAATCTGTTGCCGCTAACAGTAAAGCTAATAAATGTGCAGCTCAAATAGAGCCAGGAACTGTCATAAAGTTTGAGAATGAAGCTAATTTGAATTGGTACAGTTATCTGGGAAAACAAAACTCATGAAACAAAATACATTTTTCATCAATGTTTTTATTTAAGAAGATTTGCACACATATCTTGAACCGGGAAAGGGTAGAGTGCCTTCTCCGGGTCAGGGATGAGGTCCTGCCCCAAGTGGAGGAGTTTAAGTATCTCAGGGTCTTTTTCGCGATTGAAGGAAAGCTGGAGTGTGAGATTGACAGGCTGATTGGTACTGCATCTGTAGCGATGCGGGCGTTGTACCGATCTGTTGTGGTGAAGAGAGAGTTGAGCCAGAAGGCTAAGCTCTCGATTTACCGGTCGATCTACGTTCCTACCGTCACCAATGGTCACGAGATTTGGGTAACACTGACAGAGGCAAGACTGCCGAGCACCGGCGTCACCTGGTCCCTCCGACCACCACCAGCAGGCAAGGTGGGTTAAGTGTCTTGCCCAAGGCCGCAACGACGGCGACAGACTGAGCGGGGCTCAAACCTGCAACCTTATGATTACAGGGAGGGCACATAACTCCTGTGCCACTGCCACACCAAAGACATTTAGAGATGTTTTTAGGTGAGAAATTAGACATTAAAAGTCGATAAATAATGTCACCCAATTAGAAGTAAGCTTACGTAGTAGTCTAGTCTCAAAGCTGTTACTTTACTTTACTAAATCAGAAACACAATATACCATTCATCAACATAGATTAATTTAAAACAGTTCAGAATTCACTAAAAAGGGAAACAAAGTGCAAACATTAAAAACGGTCAAAGCAATTAAACGTAGGACAACGATACCTAGCTACCTCATTTAATGGTGGAAAGCTAAGATGTAAAAATGGGTCTTCAGTCGGGACTTAAAAACCAACAGTGAAGGAGACTGGTGCACAGCCTGAGGCAGCTTATTGCAAAGTCTTGGACCCATCACAGATAACGTGTTATCCCCCTCGACTTAAATTTTGAGCAGGGAACCACCAACAGCTGTCTTTCAGCAGAGCGAAGCATGCGTCTGTAGAAGGCTAGTAAGGTAGGGTGGTGCAGCTCCCTGAAGAGGTTTGTACACCAATGTTAACAACTTGAATTTGGCCCTGAAATGCACCAGGAGCCAAAGTAAAGATGCCAGAATGAGTGGCATTCGCTTCCTGTGTCTGGTGCCTGTCTAGCTGCTGAGTTCTGTAACAACTGCGGTTGTTGCAACTGCTCCCTGACTGAGGCTGGCGTACAACACATTGCAGTAATCTAATCTGGAAAGAACTAAAGCATGAGTAACAGACTCTAGATGTACTCTACACAACAGGGCTTAATTCTTGCCAGACGATGCAGATTTAAAAAGCAGGACTGCACAAACTGATTAATTTGTGCATCAAACCAATCCATTCTTATCACTAAGTTATTGACGATGCTCTTCATATTAGCAGCCAAAGGTGTAAGTCGGCGCCAGAAGTTTTACAATCTGACATACCCAGAGTGAAGACTATGACCTCAGTTTTAGTGTCATTTAAGAGCAAAAAATTAGAAGCCACCCAGGCCGTAACATCCCCTAAACAGTTCAAAAGAGTAGAGATTAATCCATCCGCCCCTTGTTTAAATGGAAGGTAGATCTGACAATCATCAGCATATAAATGGAATCTCACTCCATGCTGGCAAAGGAGGAACCCCAGTAGAGGGGACCCAAATCAGATCCCTGTGGGACTCCCCACCCAAGGGGAGTAGGATTCCCTACACAAACACAGAAGGTCCTATTCCATCTGATCGCCGGTAGTCAGTGCTTGGTCAGTTCGCTGAAAATTGAATGATATTGGGAAGCCATGCTGCTAGTTTACCTCCACTGTGAAGGATAAAGTAGCGGAGGTAAAATATACTTTTCAGGGCTCATATAATGGGAATTACTGTCATCGTTAGACATCTGTAATCTAAAAGGATTTCTGGATGGTTCATGCTAACATCATTTTATGAATGTAAAGTGTTGTACACTTTACATCCTATGATTATTTTGGCAGATTCATCAGAACTTCTGAGTGTTAAACACCGGTCAATAAAGATGACCTGGCCACTCATTTCCTTTGCAGATAGCCATTAAACAAGAAAGCATTAGTTAATGTGAGGGGCCTTGCTGGAATTAGCTTATCAAACCAGTCAAGTTTCTCTAAAAAGGTTTTTCAAAGAGCCAATTTACACAGAACCAGAATCAGATTATTTAAACATCTAAAATTATATTCAACATCAGATCAGAGGAACCTCAAGTCCAGTGACAAGGTTCATTATGTTATCTCTGATGACTGATGGATTTTCTTCCAGAAACCATGTCTGAGCTCATGAAAAATCCTGCTTAATGTCTAATGCTGTTATTCCATGTTTGAGCTAATAGCTAACTGATGGAAAAGAGCAGGGGTGATGTGGATAAACTGTTATCTCACTTGATTACTGTGCAGTTCAAGTGCACAGAGAACTAAAGTGTACGTGCATGTGTGTGTGTGTGCGTGTGTGTGTGTGTGTGTGTGTATGTGTGTGTGTGTATGTGTGTGTGTGCATGCAGGGGAGAGGAGTGTCCAGTCCCAGGCAGCCCCACAGCTGTTTCCTAATGGTAAATATGTGCTCATCTGGCTCCTTGCTCTCTGGGGGTCTGTGGGTTTGGGGAATAGACTGAGCAGACTCTGATCAAGCCCCTTCCCTCACCTCTGACCTTCAGCTCTTCTTCCTCCTGTGAATGCCTTTTCAATAACAGCCTGGGTCAAACTGCACCTATCAAAAACACAGCTGCAAAGAGGCAGCATGCGACCTGCAGCATCGGCGTTATGTAACTCACCTGAGATGAGCTGCACGTTGCTTCACATGAGTGTCAGTTAGTCATGCTGATTCCTCTGGTAACCATCTCTGTATTTCTGACAACCATCTTAACTCTAACATCTTTACTTTTCTATAATTAAGACCTAAATGTTGCAGCTTTTATCCTGTGATTTTATTGAGATGTCAGATGAATGATTATCTAATTTCTTCAAAATTAATAATGAAATCTATTTATAGTTAAACTTCTTTAAGACATGCAATGAAAGTAAAAGTGGTCAACCATGGTTTTGATCCATTTATTTTCACCTGTAAGAAACGTAACGTTCTAAACTTTTTTTTTGGTTGTTAGTTTTTGGATTTTTTTTTTGGTCTGCTTTGAAACACGGAGGAGGCTGAGACTGTTGCGATTATAATAGATGTAGTGTTTGTAACGATTTACTTTCACATTTGTTAGAACAACAACATTAAACTTTAAAAACAAAACTAGTAATGAAATCACTCTTCACAAGTCATCTTAGACACAAAATCTATTCAAAGAGCTTTAAATGTTCATTTGTCATGCAAAAGAGAAAAATGAGGAAATGGCTCTGATCATATTTGAGGATGTAAAATAAGATGCAAGTAAAGATTAATGACAGATACTTTTAAAACATTTATCTCAAGCATTAATAAGCAGAATTGTAGTCATCTGAAAGGTCTAATACTGGGAGGTCTAGAACTCTAAGGATAAGTACTTCTCTAAATGTAAAAGGTCCAGTTTCTGTATGCCATAGAGCATCATGACCATGGTTACAGCTCACCACTTGAGGATGAATTAGTACAAAAAGTGAGAGTGCTTTGAAGAGTCAGACCAAAGACTTTGTCTTTATTTTTGTTTGATATGAGTGAAATGAAGCTCACGCGATTCCAAATATTTGTCTGTGGTTCTTAACCATCATCATGGCCTATTAGCTGCTGTGAAACAGCCAGAAATGTGTCCACGATCCAGTTTAAAAGATAAATCACAAGTTCCTGGAAGCCTCCTGAAAAACACATCTGTGTAATCTTGTGCCCAAAAGAGCTGTAAAAAATCCATTTGAAGAATTTCTTCTTCTGTATTTGTGTCCAAAAGTGATTTGTTTCTCTGCATTTGCAGAAAATGTGAGCAAAAACAGAACAAAGTGGGAGTTTTTCCTCCTGTTTATTTATTTTTATATGCATTTGGTTATGTCCCTAACACAGTTAGGCCTAATTTTTACGAGATGTGTTTTCACAAAAGTAGCAAGATACCTTGAAAATGTAAGTCATAAATCTGTGAAGACATATCAAACCTTGATACATCAAAGAGATTTACGATTTAATTACAGCGTGTAAGAAAGTGAGGGAGGAGGCTCCGTCTCGCAAGAGGAACAGAAAGAGCACACGAGGGTTTTAAGTGACTGTTTGCTGCGACTGTTTGTTCATGAACACTAAGTTCTACACATGCTGCAGCACAACAGTCTGACCTATTTCAGGATTTGGTGTCCTAGTTTTCTATTTTCTCAGAAATAGAAACATAAGGAGACATATGTTGCTCGGCCCTGCAACAGGTTTCTCTCCTGGATATGTGTTGGTATTTGCATCCTAGTTTCCCATTGTGTGGTTTACCTTTTAAGAAATAAGATTCACCTTAAAGCAAACTTTACACCATCTGAGTGAATTTGGCTGCTTATTTGCTCTTATTCCCCCTAAAAATCACTCTGCTTTCAGGCCGTTTGTGAGTCCTGTCCACTTAGCTCTTGGTGTGTTTTGTTTGCGGCGCTCATAAAAGGCTGATGACAAGAGGCCTGTCATCAGTTGGGGTGTAAAGCAAGAAGTTGCACTGCTAGAAATCATGTGGCTTCTGTTAGAAGGTTATCTCTTTATCAGACGTTTATTAAAGGCTTTAATCCTAACATCATAATGGATAATATTTGCAGCAGTCGGCCCACTCTTACTATAATTGCACACCTTGTAGATGTGGCTGGTGTGCCTCCAGAATACACAGAAGGATGCACACGCCAGACTGTGTGTCTCTTCCCTGTCTTTACAAAACCATAATGTCAGAAATGTTTCTTTACTCTCTTAACACATGATCATTACAGTTTGACGAGTGAGCTGCCTGACTAAGCATTTCGAAGGCATGTCCCAGCACTGCCTTATCGTCTTGTGAGCGTACGGTGCCTGCTGACACTTATTACTGGAACCCACAGCGATGTGCTCTCTTAAGACAAGAGGTGCTACTTTTTCCTCCTACAGAAAGTATTTAAGGTGAAACTTTTTGCCTCGGATCTTAAAGAAAGAAAGAAAGAAAGAAAGAAAGAAAGAAAGAAAGAAAGAAAGAAAGAAAGAAAGAAAGAAAGAAAGAAAGAAAGAAAGAAAGAAAGAAAGAAAGAAAGAAAGCAATCTTATATATAACGCTTCTCAAGATAAAAATCATGAAGTGATTCACAAGAACAAAAATGTAACAAAAAAGATTTTTTGAATGATTTCAAAATATTATTAAAGTGAGAAACACATTTTTAAAAATGTGATTAAAAATATAAGGAAAAGAAAAGAGAAAATGTATTAGAAAGAGGGAAATCAGTGGATCCCAGAAAAGGTGGAATAGATAGAAAAAGGGTGGTGATGAAGGTCACACTAAAGCCAGCCTGAACAGGTGAGTTTTCAGCTGCTTCTTAAAGGAGTCCACTGAGTCCACTGGTCTCAGGCTCAGGGGGGAGAGTTCCAGAGTCTGGGGGCCACAGCAGCAGATGATCTGTCACCTTTCGTCTTTAGCCTGATGCTGCACAACCAGTAAGCTTTGGCCACTGGACCTCAGGGACCTGCTGGGGGTGTAGGGACTGAGAAGATTGCCGGTAGAAAAGAAAGGAAACAATAATTTATAAAGCGTCTCACAAGATAATTTTTTTTAAAAATGATTAAAAATATGTTTAAAATGAGTCAAAAGTTTAAACATTGTGATTAAAAATGTAAGGAAAGGGAGAGAGAAAATTAATTAGGAAAGACGGAAATCAATGTATGATGGTTCAGTCATCCATGCTTTTATCACCTCTCTCCTGGACTATGCAAACGCACTCCTTGTAAGTACTCCTGTTTCTGCCCTGAACCAGCTGCAGGTCATCCAGAACACTGCTGCTAGTTTCCTGAATAACACAAACAGACGTAGCCTTATCACTCCTGTCTTGGCGCGTCTCCATTGGCTCCCCGTCACCTTCCGTGTACAGTTTCAGTTATTGACTTTTGTTTGTTGGTGAGGAGTGAGCACCACCTTACCCCTGCCACGTGGACCTCAAGGGATAAACCATCAATCCTGCTCAATGATCAACTTTCCTGGCTGGGTCACCCATGAAGACAGTGGGAGGGTTAAAGTGCTTCATGACCTGGCACCTCCCCTTATGTGCCTACACTTACGTTGAGGTCAGCTGATCTCCTGCTGCTCTGCGCAGGCTCCCTCTTTGGTGATTTTTAAATCTCATTTAAAGACTCACTTTTATAACCTGGCTTTTAGACAGTGATTTGTTTTATAGTTTTAATGTGTTTTTTATTGTTTCTGTTGTTTTTAATCAGTTTTTATCGTCTTCGTCTTCGTCTTCCTCCGCTTATCGGGGTCCGGGTCGCGGGGGCAGCATCCCAATTAGGGAGCTCCAGGCCGTCCTCTCCCCGGCCTTGTCCACCAGCTCCTCCGGCAGGACCCCAAGGCGTTCCCGGACCAGATTGGAGATGTAACCTCTCCAACGTGTCCTGGGTCGACCCGGGGGCCTTCTGCCGGCAGGACATGCCCGAAACACCTCCCCGGGGAGGCGTCCAGGAGGCATCCTGACCAGATGCCCAAACCACCTCAACTGGCTCCTTTCGATCCGGAGGAGCAGCGGTTCTACTCCGAGTCCCTCCCGAATGTCCGAGCTCCTCACCCTATCTCTAAGGCTGAGCCCGGCCACCCTACAGAGGAAACTCATTTCGGCCGCTTGTATCCGCGATCTCGTTCTTTCGGTCATTACCCAAAGCTCATGACCATAGGTGAGGATTGGGACGTAGATCGACCGGTAAATCGAGAGCCTGGCTTTCTGGCTCAGCTCCCTCTTCCCCACGACAGATCGGCTCAACGTCCGCATCACTGCAGACGCCGAACCAATCCGCCTGTCGATCTCCCGATCCCTCCTACCCTCACTCGTGAACAAGACCCCGAGATACTTAAACTCCTCCACTTGAGGTAGGACCTCTCCCCCGACCCGGAGGTGGCAAGCCACCCTTTTCCGGTCGAGAACCATGGTCTCAGATTTGGAGGTGCTGATCCTCATCCCAGCCGCTTCACATTCGGCCGCGAACCTACCCAGCGAGAGCTGAAGGTCAGAGCTGGATGAAGCTAGGAGGACCACATCATCCGCAAAAAGCAGAGACGAGATTCTCCTGCCACCAAACTCGACACACTCCACACCACGGCTGCGTCTAGAAATTCTGTCCATAAAAGTGATGAACAGAACCGGTGACAAAGGGCAGCCCTGGCGGAGTCCAACCCTCACTGGGAACAGGTCCGACTTACTACCGGCTATGCGGACCAAACTCACGCTCCTCTGGTAAAGGGACTGAATGGCCCTTAACAGAAAGCCACCCACCCCATACTCCTGGAGCGTCCCCCACAGGGTGCCCCTGGGGACACGGTCATAAGCCTTCTCCAAATCCACAAAGCACATGTGGATTGGTTGGGCAAACTCCCATGCCCCCTCCATCACCCTTGCAAGGGTATAGAGCTGGTCCACAGTTCCACGGCCAGGACGAAAACCACATTGCTCCTCCTCTATCTGAGATTCAACTATCGATCGGACCCTCCTCTCCAGTACCTTGGCGTAGACCTTTCCAGGAAGGCTGAGGAGTGTGATCCCCCTATAGTTGGAACACACCCTCAGGTCACCCTTCTTAAAGATGGGGACCACCACCCCGGTCTGCCACTCCCTAGGAACTGCCCCCGATGACCACGCAATGTTGTAGAGACGTGTCAACCATGACAGCCCTACAACATCCATAGCCTTGAGATACCCAGGTCGAACCTCATCCGCCCCCGGGGCTCCGCCGCTGTGTAGTTGTTTGACTACCTCAGCAACTTCTGCCCCCGAGATCGGACAGTCCATCCCCAGGCCTCCCAGCTCTGGTTCCTCCTCGGAATGCGCATTGGTGGGATTGAGGAGCTCCTCAAAGTATTCCTTCCACCGTCCGACTATAGCCTCAGTTGACGTCAGCAGCTCCCCATCCCCACTGTAAACAGTGTGAGCGAGTTGCTGCCTTCCTCTCCTGAGGCGCCGGACAGTTTGCCAGAACCTCTTTGGAGCCGATCGATAGTCTTTCTCCATGGCCTCACCAAACTCCTCCCACGCCCGAGATTTTGCCTCGGCAACTGCCACTGCTGCACCCCGCTTGGCTATCCGGTACCTGTCTGCTGCCTCCGGAGACCCACAGTTTTTATGTGCTATAGAAACAAACTGGTATGGTATGGTATGTTATGGTATGATTATACATGTAAGGCCCTAAAGACCAGAACCAGGATCCTGAAATAAACCCTGAAGTTAGCCGGCAGCCAGTGAAGCTGGAGGAGAAGCGGGGCGATGTGGGTGTACTTTGACGAGTTGGTCAGAAGCCGAGCACAGGCATTCTGAACCACCTGTAGACAGGGGTGCAGATAGGATTTTCAAACTGGGGGGGACAAAGTTCCAATGTACCTTCCCCCAAACACACACACACACACACACACACACGCGCACACACACACACACGCACGCACGCACACGCGCGCACGCAAGCACACACACACACACAGTCAGTTTGTGTAATTTCATCCAATGGTTTACGTAAAAACTAACACTTTTATATATGTGTTTGAAGCCATTGTGCAGTGGAACGCTGGCAGCAAATCTCTGCCTGATCAACACCATAAATAATAAATGATCCGCACTTGTATAGTGCCTCTCAGAGTAAGGACTCCAAAGCGCTTTACACTACAGTGTATCATTCATCCATTCACACACACATTCGCACACTGATGGTGATGAGCTACAATGCAGCCACAGCTGCCCTGGGGCGTACTGACAGAGGCGACCCACTATTTAATTCAGTCATTTGTTATTCTTCCAATCATTACTAACCAAAACCTCATGCTTTATGCAAAACATTAAATTATTTTCAGCATACCAATCTTTTCAGAAAACATAAAAACCCTAAAAAACTGCTCATAAAATATATTTAAAAAACGATATTCACTTATCACTTAGAGCAGTGGTTCCCAAACTTTTCAGCCTGACAAACAGATGTTCCTTCGTATTTTTACGTTATTTAGAAATTTTCATTATATTTGGAAAGTTTTTATTTATGTAAAAATATATAAAGCTCTTTTTAAATTTCATATTTTACATTTTTTATGATTATGTGACACACTCGACTTCCATACATAATGCATCGGCATCTGTCCCTTTTCACGGCTTTTTTTTTACATTGTCAATACGTCTGTCATGTTAGCGGTGTTTTTACCATCATTTCTACATCCATCACATCCCAAAGAAGGTTAAACAAACATCAAACCCAACATTTGGAGCTTGTAAACTCCACACACCTCTCGTGCAGCACCAGATGTCTGATGCTGCAGCAGCGTCAATCGTCCCGGCTGGATGAGTGAATTTCTTCATCAGAGTGAATATTCTGCTTCATAATCAGAGTCAGTCATGACCAGACAAAGTGATCAGTCAACAATCACCAGATCTGCCGGCAATTATACGTTTTATCTAATATTTGCGCTCTTCATGTTGCCTCTCGGCGGGAGGCGTTTTTCAAGCTCTAAAAAGGTTCCACATCTCCACTATCTTCTGATGTAAAGTAGTAACTTCATGAGGGATCATATTTGTAGATGAGACTTGTTAAAGTCAGCAATGAGGCTTTGGCGCTTTTAACGAGTCCCAACACTGACAACAATGTACTGAAACAAGAACCAACATGCATAAACAGACAGATCGGTCCCACCTACATACACTGTTGGTCTTTTTTAAATGCGCAGTAATCGTTGCTTGCCTTTTTCGCTTCATCCTGCATCCTAGCTGCAACCATTTTGGTGCCTCTGGAGTCGGTGTTTGTTTACGTCATGCTACATTCAATGTAATTGGAAAAAGGAGCTTTAAGCGCTTAACCTTCGATTTTGTTTTCTTTCTGGCCTTAGTGCGGGGGACGGATCGGGGTCAATCTGAATCTGGGGGGGACAGATCCCCCCCGTCCCCCACCCTATCTGCGCGCCTGCCTATAGACGGTTCCTGGAGGTTCTGCTCAGACAAGTGAAAAGAGAGTTACAGTAGTCTAGGCGTGAGGAGATGAAGGTGTGGAGAACTGTCTCAAGTTCAAGCGAGACAGAATGGGACTCAGCTTAGCAATGTTCCTGGGATGGAAGAAGGAAGAGCGAACAGGAGAACTGACATGAGAATCCAGGGTGAGAGCTGGGTCAAAGGTCACACCAAGACTCTTGACAGAGGGTTTGGTGTGAGAAGAAAGCTGACCAAGAGAGTCTTCTACTTTAGGAACCAGCTTGTCTGGGGCACAGATGAGGATCTCAGTCTCATCTTCATTCAGCTGTAGAAAGCTCCCAGCCATCCAGGTTTTAATAGAGTCTAAGCAGGAGTGTAACAGCTGCAGCTTAGACATCTCATGGGGCTTAAAGGAGATGTACAGTTGGATGTCATCTGCATAAAGATGGTAGGAGGTTCCTTTAAAGTAGCTCATGATGTGCTGAAGAGGAAGCAAATAGAGGAGGAAGAGTAGAGGCCCCACCACAGAACCTTGTGGGACACCATGGGTGTGGGAGGTGGTGGAGGACCTTAACTTGAAGACGGCCACAGAGAAGGAACGCTCAGACAGATAAGAGTAGAGCCACTCCAGGGCAGTTCCTGTTAGGCCTACCCAGTCTCTCAGCCTCTCCAGTAGCAGGTGATGGTCAACAGTGTCAAAGGCTGCAGTCAGGTCCAGCAGGACCAGAACAGAACAGTCCAGATTTCAATTTATCATTTTAGTTCAACTTAAACTTAAAATAAAGAAGCTAATTTGGAAGAGAGCTGCACTGTCACATGCTGTTGCATAGATCATGTTTTCCAAAAGATGGGGGTGGTGGCGCCACAGAGCATTTGTGCTTGGGGCACCCAAATGGCTAGCACCAGCCCTGCACTTAATAAATGATCATCAGGGCTGCTGTAAAATTGAATCTCCAGGCCACATCCAGAGAGAATTATCATCTCTTCTGTCACATGATTAGTAGCAGCTGGAATGTTTATGCCTAAAATGTTTTCCTTTTGTTTCTAACAACACTCCTATTTTCAAGTAGCAGACTCCTCCTCTTGTTTTGACATTTTGTTTCTTGTACTCCTGATCTATATTTCTGTTTGGATGCCATCTCTGGACCGGTTGGCACATTTAACCACTGGTTGTTCAGGTGCTGCGTGCGGGAACGTGCACAAAAAGAAGCTCCTCTTGGAGCACGTCTTCTACTATTGGGAGAGGCAACGCTGGTGGGGACTGTGGATGGTTGGTGTTTACTAGAAGACGGACAGATCTTTTTTTCCAGAAATTTCTGAGATTTCAACTAATAAATGAGTGGAAAAACTACTGGTACTAAGTCCCGGTACACTGAGAGGTAACAAAGTGCCATTACTGCGTACCGGCCCACTTAAAGCACTGGTTTGGGCCTAACTAAACTGCACACACCGGTTGGGGTTAGCTCTCAGCCATTAAAACTTTGTAGAAAGTAATAAAGCTGAGCTGAGTTGTGAGCTGAGTGGAAAATCCTTCTTCTTAATGAACGTTAAAGTGATTTTTAGGTCCCAAAGAAGCCTTTTCTCATCTCTGTTTTTCTTGTTGCCATGGAGTGTGAGGTTTCCTGACAAAAACTAGCCCCTGATGTGAGAAGAAGCTGCTTCAGAATAAAAGTCTCTGTGAAATTTCTCCCTGTGTGTAAAAGACACCTCAGCTGTCCTGCCTTGACTTTTGCAAATCCGTTTAGCTGACACAAGAGCCAGGTAGCTGAAGCAGCTTTTTTATTCACAAACTGCTTAGAAGGTTTTGTCAGAACAAGAAAAAGCAGATTTTTTTTGCATGCCTGTGAAAGTAAAAATCCACCTTTATAACCTGCAGAGATTATAATCTCCCTTTAGCACTCATTAGGTCTCCAATTTCTTTACTTTTTATCTCCCTGAGCTGCATTCATCTAGCTTTGTTTCCTGTTTCTGCCGCTAAACACCTCATTGTTCTGCTGCTCTTACAATCTCCATCTGTTTGACTAAATTTATGTTGTAGAAGATAGTGTGGATTCTAATCTGTGTTGCCTACCAGTATGCATGAATGCTGTTTAAGTAAGTGGGTCAGGAATACGTCTACTTTGTATATTTTATGTGGCTGATCTGACGACTGGCTTCTCTGCAGAGACCTGCGCGGTGAACAACGGTGGCTGCGACAGCACGTGCCACGACTCGGTGACAGGAGTCCGCTGCAGCTGTCCTGTCGGCTTCACTTTGCAGCCAGACCGCAAGACCTGCAAAGGTAGACCCACATCCACCTGTTGTGTAGTTAATTATCCTGCTGGTGGTGCTTCCAGGCAGGCTGGACATGATTTGTCCCCAACAGTTGCATTTCTCTGTTAATTAACAATGCTAACATTACTTTACAGCTTTAATTAACCCAATATTACACAAACTCCTGCTTTTCAGCAGCATATGTTCTCTTGCACCAGTTTTCCACAATATTACAATCAGTCTGAATCAGCCGCTGACTTCAATAAGTTTATAAAACTCTGTCTAATGAATAATTTAACTTTATATGGAAATTTAGAGGGTGACTTCTCCAACAAAGACCATATGCTACACAAAGAGTTGCTTTGTCTGCAGAAAGAGAGTGCAGGAATCTTTCTGTGGTTTGCACCGCTGATAAAAGTACACGGAGCTGTGCTGGTTTGGTTAGAGAGGAAACGAGGAAAGCAAACCCAGGTGGCACTGGCACAAGAAGACTGGAGTTTACTCCAGGAAAGGCATTTCTGAAGGGTACAGACAAGGATGGAGCAAGCAGGAGAGTTTTTAATTTAATTTTGCCTGCGTTTATTCCAACCAGATGATGAAGAATCCCTCGAGAGGCAGATGCCTCATTTGTGTCAATGATTCGGAATTAATCAGAACTGCAGCGAAACTTGCCAAAGCAGACTTATCAACCACGGGGATGAACACACGACATATCGACCAAGGATCGTCTCCAGATGTACAGAACAGAGGAAACTGAAAGAGATGGGCAGTGGGGATTTTTAATTTATTGCTACAGGGCTTTGCTGTGTGAGAGCTTTTTAAAGCCTCATGCAAATTGATTTCAGTCCATCTGAGAACCAGAAAATAATCTTTGGAGTTCATTTCTGGCTTTTGAGAATTACCTACAACAGATCTATTTAATGGTCTGACTGTGCACAATTTCCACATGAATCTCCTCGCTTTTTGATCCCTTGTTTTTTTAATCCCATCAACACCTCATATTTCTCATCTTTGTGATCCAGAGATCCCAGATGCATGTCAGTCTCTCTCCAACCACACATCCAGGGTATTTATAGGCCACAATGTGCTAACAAATAAAATAACTTGACGTGTTTGTTGCTTTTTCCGATTGCACTTATGTGACAAAAGAAAACTAGTTTAATTGACTCTCCTTTCCAGTTGTGGTGACTGATGTGAATTATCCATCCCTCATTGAGATTTTCTGTTCACAGACATCGATGAATGCCGTCTGAACAATGGCGGGTGTGATCATGTGTGCCGAAACACAGTGGGTAGCTTTGAGTGCAGCTGCAAGAAAGGCTACAAGCTGCTAACCAATGAGAGGACGTGTCAAGGTGGGTAGCTTCCTCAAAATAAACAGGATTAATTGCAGCTAAAGGAAGTTTTTTCTGGCTTTTGTATTTGGTTAAGGCAACGCTCAGCCAGAGGTGCAGGTCAAATAAGTTTGACCACAGGTGTGTGACATTACAGCTTTAGCTCTAAAGTCTCATTTCTTGGTTGATTTAAGCTGCTAGAAAAATGCAGGCGGACCAGACTCCCTTCCTCATTGATGTGGTCGATCAATACCCAGCCTGGTCCACATCAGTGTCATGCAGAGGGATTAGAGAGTCTAGTCTAGATCACACCACGCTCCACACACTACTTGTGTGATCAGTGTGTCACAGCCCCTTTGTTGTCCTTCAAGTCTATTTTTGATGGAAATGCCTTTCTGTCGTTGTGCAGTGCCAAAAATGTGAAGTTTATTTTGCCACAGTGACACAGAAAACTGGGAAAATGTGGTCTTTGCTTGTAAGAATGTAAATTGTGGCTTTGTCTTCTATGGCACCGTGGCTTAAACCACTCAGCCGTGCGTTGTCTGGGAGCACCGGGTCACCGCGGGAACAGCCATGTCCTTGTTTGGTCCTGTGTGTTTTGTCTGGAGACAAGAGGTTGTGTTAAAGCTCACCTCCTGTTGACTGAGCTGGTTTACACACACACACACACACACACACACATGCACGCACGCACGCACGCACACACACACACACACACACACACGCACGCACACACACACACACACACACTACACTGCTGAGTTACCTGTCGGGCTCTTAGCTGCGGCTCTCATTCCTGTTATTTTTCTCACTTCTTGCAATAGAACCAGGGTCATAGAGGTGATGAGTGCCTCTCAGTAAAGGTCAAGTTTTATTTTCTGATTGATTTTATTCTGACTGATGAAGATGCCACAGTTATCCCCGCATTCAACCGTCTGATCGGAGTAGTTGTAGAGAACACGGGTTAGTGATAATTTAGTCATTTCGAAGTGTCTTTCTGTGTCAGTTACAAATATTTACCATTTTGCTTGTTGTAGATGGCTTCCTGAAAAATCCACTTTGCGTTAGCATCCAATGTGACTGATGAGCTAACGGTTAGTCTGTGCAGAGCCAATACTAAATGGATTTCCGTCAACATAAAACACAGCTATTCATGCAACAGTATTTTAAGACCTTTACATTTGTATCACCTGCAGCAGCAAAGTGTAGCACCTCTGATAAATCCAAGGGTTAATTCATTAAACGATTATTAGATATGCTAATTTTCCCATCGAGTATTACTACTCAGGATTGTGCTAACCAAAGGGCATAGTACTTCTCCTCACAGTCTGCAGCTCACACCGCTGCTTGTAGACAGGTTAGTGTGAGACTTTCTCTCGTGAATCTATAGGCCTTGAACAAAGCGTCCAACAGCAGAGTTTTCACCTCGTTTCTGAACAGTTTAGCTCAGACCCAGCCAGATGTGAGAGTTTGGGATCTGCTAATTGAGCCAACCCAAGAGGGGAGGGTCTCCAGCCCCCCTGACACTGACAGGTAAGTTCTAGCCAATCAGGGCTGGCAGTGTGGAATAGAGAGCCTAAGTCACATCCATCTACTTCTGGACCATGGGTCCCCGTAAGAACAAATAAACAAATGCAAATCAATGGGGCTAAAAACGTTATTTTCTAATTCCACTTGTTATGTGCCATGGATTTCACATATAATGTCCGTGAATTTTAAAGACGCATTTTGATACCAAGAACTCTCATCTTTTCAAACAGGGGGAATTGTTATTTTAGGTTTTTTTGTGAAAATAAGTCCAGGACTACAAATGCGCTCCACAAATATGACGTCAACGCACCAGACACGGAGAAAAACGAAGGGAAAACGGCTGTAAGTTTAGTGAACTTAAAATCCTTCCTTCAGGAGGAAAGAACCACCACAAATCTGGCCATGTGGTGAGTAGCAGCTACGCTAGAGGAGAGGGGATTCTGTGGTGATGCGACGTGCTGATGTCTAATGTGTAGACATGCTAATTACAAACTTTTACAAGCTGATAAATCTCAAAGTACATGACTGGCATGGTCGAAACACCCATCATTAGTTTTCCTTTAAATTGCAGTACAACATATGTGCGATCCAGGGCCTAAGGCCAAGCGGATTAGAAAATTGCGTTTTTAGCCCCGTTGACTTGCATTCGTTTTTTTGTTTTCCGGGGACCCGTGAGCCGACCGGAAAGGGAGGAGACTTAGGCTCCCTATAATAAAGGAATGCTATGAAAGAGAACTTGTAGAGCTATGTCTCCAGACTGAGGCTAATCAGGAAACTACAGCATGTAAGAATCAGTGAGTGAGACATGGAGAGCCTGGCTGCTCGTTTGTTTAGTCAGTTATAAATAAAATGTTATATAATGCATATAATTTTCCTGGGAAATGAGACATTCCCACAGCAGAAATGTCTGATTTCAGATAGTTACTCCTGCTAACAATCACCGTCACATGGACATGCAGGTCATGTTTATGTTGCATCCATCGGTCCAGACCACTTCTGTAGGATGTGCAAACTAGATACGTGCACAGTGGAACTCACCATTTCAGAGCTTCAGTATGCACAAGAACATTGGTGTGGTCAGAACTGAGTTGCTGCATCAGGGGAAAGTTCGTCAGATAAAGGTGCAGCCTCTCAGAATTGGAATACTGTCTCAGAGGAAGGTTGAGATTGACCTGGCATTAGAAAAAGGTCATACATGTGGTCTTAATTATAAGTCTGTTCTACCTGGTGAAGATGTGTCACTAAATCTTATTTTTCCACCGCAGTAAGATAATAATTTTTCATAAATCTGACACAAACACGTTTTAAAATGGCCTAAACGTCCCTTTACAGTTTATGTGCAAGTTCCCAAGTTATTTTTTTTCCATATTAACAAAGCATATCACCTACATGCTCATATTTGTCAACAGGGACTGAAACCTCCACAAAGTCCTCTTCCCTAAGATACTTGATAGAAACTGACTTTTGAACATTTCAGCGAATTCAGACCCTCCTAGCCTTGCTGCTCATTCCTGTTGACGACTGAGACGTTTGTCACAGCGTGCAGCTCAGCAGCTCGGTGAAGAGCGGTCTCAAACGTTCACCGCATGCTGGAAGCTGTTAGAAGTGGTTGTTTTCAGAGGTTCAGGTTCGAGGGCTTTAAATAAATTCTAAAACCTGAAGGTTTTTGGCAAAGTGTAAACTGTCCGCTATAACAGTTTACCAGATATGAACGCTTTGTCTTTGCTCTTATTTGTACTATGCAAACATTACTAAATTGTCAGGGTGCAAGTCTAGTCTTTATCAAAAAGACATCATTTTATTAAGGGATAAACCTATGATGTCATTATGGTATTCCCAAGAGTGTGTTCTGAGAGAGGAAGATGATGTGCAGCCTTGTATTCATGGTGTTATTGGGGTTTCTGGTGCCTGGTTGTGAGACGAGGTCTAGTGTTACACCTAAACAGATGGTTGCCATCTCATGGAGGTGTTGAGATGTGGAAACTGAACTCTGGGTTTATCTTGGTTTAAGCAGTCATGGTGTGTCTCTGCTGTCAGTGGGCCATGGCCCTCAAGTCAGGATGGGGCATGTCTGCGGAGCAGCATTCCTCCAAACAAAGTCATCTTCCTCTCACTCTTAGTCTCCATAAGGAATCGTTCATCAAACCAAATGTTTTCTATGTATCTGTTCTATAGAAACAACGTTAGTACTACCAGGCTCTTTAGATAAATGATGAGACTTAGCGATTAGGAGTAATTAATGGAAACTTCCCTTTGCTGCTCTGTAAAAGAAGGTTCTAGGAGTCATCAACACTGTTTTGGAGCAACACTGAACTATGTAATGATAAGCTGCAGATTCACTTCTGGCATCAGCGGAGCAATAAGGAACATATTTAAGGATAAACTCCGTCACCAAAACTATTTTTCCAGACAGACTTACGGTAAAGTTTATCCCTAATTTACCATAAATGAAGACTTTTGCTGTGCTGCATGTGCCAACGCATAATGCTTTCAGGTCTCCAGAGGCAATCAGGAGTTCTGTCCATGCTTTGATTTATTTATTTTTGTAGAAAAGTTAAGCAGTGATTTGATTTTGATGTTTGGAGGAAGTTAGTAAAAATCTGCTCTCAGAGCTTTACCTTTTAACCTGACTGTCTGACTTGTGTGAAACAGCTTTGTGCATGATGATCTTTGCAGACATTTATCAGTCTATGTATCTTGTGAACTTCTGTAATTGCAGTGAAATGCTTTTGTCATCTGTTTGATGGCACCTGGCCCTACCTCATAACCCAGGGGAGGTTCACTTATGCAGAAGATGAAAGCACAATATTCCTGGGAAAATCCTGGGAACATTTATTAAATGAGCCAATTAGACATCCAGCAAAGTCTCTCCCAGCACATGTTGCCTGGGCTTAACACCGACTGGCAAAAAAAATACAAGTTGGTCATTAAAAAAAGCAAATGTCATCAGTCTCCCATGGTCTCTTGTGTCTGTCTTTATGATTTTCCAGCCTGGGATATTTAGGAAATTCATGAGGAAGCATGACTAACTCAAGAAAACCTGAAAAAGAGGAGCGAAAGCTCACCACGAGGCATGGAGGAGCTGCTGGGTAGCATTGTAGGTGTTGAAAGGATGACTGAGATCAGAATGAATAAAATGTCATTTTCAGCTTTTTCCATCATACAGCATTAAAGTGGCAGTGTCGTTTCCTGGCTCTAGGGGGCAGCACATACATTTCAGGGTAGTTTTACACCATCTCACCGTGACTGTTGCTAGTTAATAAAGCATTACGGTAAATGTTGTTACCTGTGGTGCAGAAAGCATGCAACCTTGGCGTGCCTCCTCAGAGTTTGATGGTCCTTCAGTTAATTTCATCGATAATGCCTGAGCTGTAGTTTCTGGTTCCGTGCCTGCCGATGACATCAGCCTACTGTACTGATGTCATCAGTACAGCCAACTGTACTTGGCCAAAATGTCGAACGTGGTTACATAACTTCCGTAAGTCCTATGTCTAGCCAATCACCTAGTGTGATGTCATCGATAGACGCAGGACCCCGAGCCAGCCAGGAGGAAACATGGCTAATCCCGAGCCCTACTTTGGACCCAGTTTTTATGGTTATATGGTACACCAACATTTTATTTAATTTCAACAACATTTCGATGGATATTTCCAGAGATTAAAGGTAAAAATACACATTGTCACTTTAAGGCAACAATGACTTTCATACAACCTACGAGCCATTTTATTGGTTTTACTGGTTTCTATATGGCTTTCTCATTGGTGAGAAAAGAAAAGAAGATTAGCAGAAAGATAAACAGCTATTATTATTAGGGGAAGAGCACACTTCCTGTAGACCCCCACTGAGACCACTTGAGTTCTCCAAAATGCCTCGCAACTTTTTCCTTTAGGTGCATTAAAATGGAAAAAAGGTCAAATCCAAACCCGAATACTGCACAAAAGATGTCTTCCTTTGTAAAAGTACGCTTTTATGTTGTGACATTTGATTTGACCTGCTGCAATTTTGACAAACAATGTTTACAACATCAGGGACACAGGAAAACATAGAGCACCCTTGAAAAAAATGTGTAACTTGTTTAAGTGGTAGAGACGTTTCTGATTGTTGTTGTTTTTTCAACAGATATTGATGAATGCTCTTTCGACCGAGCTTGTGATCATTTTTGTGTCAACTCTGCTGGCAGTTTCCAGTGTCTCTGTCGTAAAGGCTACGTGCTGTACGGCCTGGCACACTGTGGAGGTAAGTTTGACACATCTGACGTGTCTTTTAGATGAAAAAATGTAGTTTTGAGGGATTTTTTAAAAATAAATCCTATACTTTATTACCCTGTAGAGAATCCTGTGGTTTACTTTTGATTGTTGTCAGCCACATCCTTTATTAAACCAAGTGAGTAAAAAAAGTCAGCCAAGTATTTCCATCTCAAGGACTTTTACCACTTATGGAAGGATTACCATGACATTATCAACACAAAGTTTTCTGTGGATTCAGTCTAACATACTTCTACTTCTGCTATCAAGTTTATGATCGGTTGGATGGATATATGCATGCTTATTAAATCTAAAGTTGTTTAAGTTTTTACAACATTGCTGTCAACCATCTCTCACATACATGGTATTCCCTCCTCTGGAGACCATCCAACAATGGTGGATGGTCTCAAAACAATTGCCCCTTAATCTCATTTGAGCTAATTTCAGTTTCTTTAAAATGAGGTTGTTCCAACAGCAGTTTACCACACATGGCAAGGTGGAGAAACGAGGGCCTGGGCGGGATTCGATCCCCAGACTCCTGGGTGAGAGTCACGTAGTCACTTACCAGTCAGCCAAAGGGGCATCCCCTTGACCAAGTAGCCAGAGCACATGATCAATCAGGACACTATGACAGGACGCTCACACTGCTACACACTGGAAATGTGTTGGAGAAGCTGAAGGACAGAAAGTGTCTTCAGTTTACACTTTGGGCCCTTTAGGCCGCCCTAGTGGTACAGGACATGAGGGTGTGATCTTAACAATCTAGGTCACACTCTACTGCATCTAATCAAAACAACCCAGACTCTTCAGGAGGTGGGAGGAGAGGTGTTCTTTGGTATTTTCAGCTTGTTAAGCAACAATAGCTTACAGTTTATAAGCTTGACCCTCCCATATTTCAGTCTGAATTGAAAAAGCTCCTCGGATGAGAAGCGAAACATCTTCAAGAAACCAAAGAAGTCCAGTTGCTTCATTTGAACCCTTTTGGATTCCCATGACCTGGATTACTGAGAATCTTCACCCGTATGTTGGTGCAAATGACATTGGGTCAGACATGCTGAAGCAGGACTTTACTGCTTTATTGATCATCTCTCTGAAAACCAAGGTCTTTATCAATGGCCTGTTATTACCAGTCAGAAGAGGCGATGAAAGATTCAGCAGGTTGTTGGCTCTGAACAGCTGGCTATATGCTGCATGGAACAGAGAGAAAGTTCACTTATTTGATCTTTTTAACTTTTTCTGGGACCACAGACACTTTTTCAGGCTAGATGGGATTCACCTGAACAAGTCTGGGGTGAAACTTTTCCTTTCAAACCGTCTGCATATCCTGCATCGTTCTTCCACCTGCCCTGAAAGGACACCAAAAGACAAGAGGAGCCAAATCAGGGAATCGTCATAGAGTATGCCAGCTATCATAAAGGAGAACATCTTGCTCACCATAACAAAGAAAATGTACAGAAAGATTCAAAAGAACAAGAAAACAAAACACAACAATCCTGTAAAATTATTGAAGAGCCACTTCAGCCAGAAGATAACTTAAATATCCCTTCTCTGGCCAACACAGAGCTAAAGTTATGACTAATGGATCATTTTTCTGAACATCCCTTACAATCTTCAGACAGCTCGACGGACGCCCCCTTTTTCACTCACTATTTGCCTGGACAAAATGGAGGAGGCGTTTTTTGGACTGCTGCTGGTGTGGTCACGGGGACCCCTGAGCCGTCTTGTCATGGCCCACCTCCATACCCCACACAATTCACCCCTCGCCCCTTCCTTGGCCCACAATGCCAAGCTCCTCATCCCCTGGTCCCCGCGACACCATTAAACTGTCCTCAGTCTCCTCAATCTCATTTGTCTGATTGGTCAAAGAAGATGTTACTCATGAGTATTTCCAGGACAATTGTGGACCTAATGATATGTTAGTTTTCTCTATCCCTGTGATAAAAGATGCAAAGTGCCAGTTCACTCACATAATCAAGAAACTTTATAACAGTTCATAATCAGGTCTATTCAGCACATTGCTCCCCCTCCATTTCCATGAAGGTAGTTTTATGAAAGGTGTGGGTGACTGAAAAAGCCTTTTTTTAATGCTTTTTCTGATTATAATCAGTCATTTTGAGTTTTTCATGCAGGCTGAACATGAAAACAGTCTCCTACACCTATCTTCTGCATTAGTTCTGATGTAAAATAGATGGTGAAACGCTAATATTGGAAAAGTCTGACAGATCTATGTCATACTGTGAATTAGCATTCATGGACTCACCCATCTTGACTCATGACGAGGAAGGCTGATGTCGGCTTAGCGTCCTGGAATCAGCAGAGAATGTCTCAGCTAGTTTAAGCTAACCGTTAGCATGAACAATTCCACCACAGGCATGGATGTTATATATATATATATATATGTCTGTGTGTGTGTGTGTGTGTGTGTGTGTGTGTGTGTGTGTGTGTGTGTGTGTGTGTGTGTGTGTGTGTATGATTGGTGTGTGTGTGTGATTGGTCTGTCTAAATTGTCCCTAGGTGTGTGTGTGTGTGTGTGTGTGTGTGTGTGTGTGTGTGTGTGTGTGTGTGTGTGTGTGTGTGTGTGTGTGTGTGTGTGTGTGTGTGTGTGTGTGTGTGTGTGCATGATTGTTTGTCCTGTGTGTCTCTGTGTTGCCCTGCAATGGACTAGCACTTGGTCCAGGGTGTACCCCGCCTGATTGCCCATTAACCGCTGGAGATAGGCACCAGTCCCCCTGCGACCCTACATGGACAAGCAGGTTCAGACAATGGGTGGATGGATGGATGTATAAATACATATATATATATATATATAGAGAGAGAGAGAGAGAGAGAGAGAGAGAGAGAGAGAGAGAGGCTCTCACGCTGTTATAAACATTTTATCTTTCTTTAAAGGTTGTCTCTCATGGTTTTATTCCTACAAACCAAATGAAGGTCAGCACTGAAGGTTGAGCCAAAGATGGGTAGCTAATGGAGAAGATAATGAGGACGTGCAGCTGTGTCTCAGTAGGGTAGTTTTTCTGCCAACTGAGAGGTTGTCAGTTTGATTCCAGTTTCTCTCCAGTGTGTCCTTTGGCAACACACTGAACCCATGTTGCCCCCAGTCTGTGAAAGGCTGTGTGTATGCGTGAGTGAATGGGTGGCTATGGCTTGTAGTTTAGAAGCTGTTTGAGTGGTGAAAAAGACTATAACGTGCTTCATAAATGCGGTCCATTCATCATGCTTGAAACAGGCCAGATGTGGTTGATAACATGTTTGCTACCCTGCAGGTTTTCTTACACTCACAGTAACAAGAGCTGTAGTTGGTCTTGAAAAGGTTCACTTTTATGTTTAGTTTTCATGAAAGTGTCTTTGCTGTTTGTGTGTCAACCGTACGGCCAATGACCCTACTCGTATTGCAAAGCCAAACATTTATTTTCTACACCTAATAAACGCCAGAAACGATGGAGGAAAACTGTTCAAGCAGTGCTGTTATTTAACATGCAACCATGCAACTGCTGTGTCTCTGTGCAGTTTCTGCTAAATTGATGAATCAAATGTCGTTTGTGAATTTTTATATTGACGTGAGGAAATTGCCTCTGAGACAAAGGGATTTGATATTATTTAGGTCCATTGACACACCCCTGTCAACTCATCTGACTAGGGGTGTAATAAAATATGGATAAACTGAAATATTGGGATATTTTGTGTTTTGATACTGAATCGATATTTAGATTTATTACACAGGACTTGTCTTGGAAGCATCTGGCCTGAGTTTTTAATGAAATCCAGTCCTAAAAACTGTTTTTAGTCTCACAGTAAATTGTGTTGTCTTTCCTGTATCATGACATATATCGTACTGCCAAATTCTAGTTATTACACTCCCCTAAAGTCGACCAATATCTGGGTGCTTTATATCTCGTTTACTGCGCCGGGTCTGGTGCGGTGCTCAGCGGGTGACCGTCGGCGGTGTATACCGGTATGGGTTTGCAGGTGAGCATTTCTATCGCAGTTTAGGCTCTCATGTCGGCAGGCGGGGTTAAATAAACAGTCATCTGTGATTTTATAAACAAGTTGCACAACTTTTCTGTATTTTTGTGCTGCTAAAGGCAGAAAATAAATGCTAACCAGCAGGCTCCACAAGTGACTCCAGAGTGTGGTCGCTGAGTCCAGCGGCCTGCCTCATTGCCTTGGTCTAGCGTTCTGTGGCTTTAAAAAGCATTCATCACTTCATAGCACCTCCGTGTACCCCCCCAAAATAACACTTTCACTCCGGCTGTTCCTTTCCTTAACTTTTCTATATTGCGCTTTACTTTCTTCAGCTTGGCCTGACACCGTTCTGACGTTCGCCCAAACCCTTTGGTTGTCCTCTGCTGGGGGGGAAAAAACTTTCTTACTGATCCGTCAAGCTCCTCCTGCGTGTGGACTCTCAAGATGATGCTGAGGATGTGTGGAGTTCTGAAGAAGACCAAAACTTGCTGCTACTTGCTGGCATTTTCTCACATTCGTGAACAGCTAATGAAAATACAACCAAAGGAACTTCGAGGTGTGTTTTGCTTGTTGCAAGTAGTGACGTATTTCTGGCCCCCAATCGGTGGACAGTGTTGTTGCTCTGCCCTAACCATACTTCTCCAGAAATTTCTGGATCTTCAACAGAAGGGTGCCAATGGGGACAGAAGAGTTAGCGAGCCGATCCTCCCTAACCCCATGCCAAAACAGTTGGTGGAAATGAGGCTTAACATTTTTTTTTATTTTTGCACTCTTGATTTTAGCCATTTTCTTTTTAAAGATGAATTATGAACATATTTTTTGTGCAGAAATCCTTTTTTATTGTAACTTTTTTTTGTTTATCCATTTAGCATAGTTTTAGTTATTCTATAAAATAACCAACAGTGGATCTCCATTATATCAGTGGGTAATTCAGGCTGCAGATAAAGCCTATGAGGATATGTGTTTGCTTCGTCTCAAATCCTCCTCTGATACTTTACCTTTCATATAGTCACAGGGAGCAGATCTAACAGGCTGAAATGAGCTTAAACAGCTGGCTGCCTTGAAGGCAGGAAATCAATTTCAGAAATCAAATCTACACATTCTACAATTGGCAGCAGAAAAAAGACTATATGTACTGAATGAACTCAAAGAAGGGCAATGTGTTGGAAACTGGTCCGTCAGGGTGATGTACAACCACATTGATGAGAAATTAGCAGGAGGTCTTGGTGCTGTGGAGCAGAAACAACCTTAGTTGTCAGGAGGAGATGTGTAAGGGCACATCAGATCTGCCAACCGGCTCGCCAGAGCACTTCGAGGTGCTCCGGCAGTGGCTGATTGAGTCCATACTATCACTTGGCTACTGTCTTCTGCACCAAAGGGTGTCACAGTAATTAGAGATAGACAAAAAATGGCGTAGACAGTTGAAACACAAATTTGCTGTAATATGCTCGCTGTTTGACAGGTAGGTAGCAGGCTGGCACTAGTTGACACGAGTTGAATGGAGGTATGCAGCATGTTTTTACTTTACGTTCTGTTGTCACGGCTACTGCTTGAAGTATAATATTTTAAATTTTCTTGAAGACTCACTAAAAGTGGAATGTGACAAGCTAGTCACGGGCTGTAACTGTTTGTAATGAATTGTTAATGTGAAACACTGGTGAGGATCTGAGAATCCCTCCTGACTTCGCTTTGCTCAGAATTCTCCAAAGAGTCCGAGGTGTCAGATGTATGGAGGATCTGGAGCCCTTCAGTTGATCCTAACATGTAGACAACTTTGGAAGGGATAGGCAACCAAAATGGAAAATAAATAAAGTGGATTGAGATCAAATTTAGACATGATAAAGACTTTTATGACTAAAGTACAAGAAAATGTGACACGTCTGTTAATTTGTTTGCAAATGTCATCACATGCCAGATTTGATTCGGTCAAAACAAGGAAAATCCTTAAAAAAGGTATAAGACGCACCTGATACCTGTTTAGAGTGATTCCACCTGATTGTTTGCCTATTTTCTCTGAGATTTTCGTGTTTCCATTGCAACTCAAAGAGATACTGGTTTAAAGAAAATTGATGCGAGGCTGCAGCTGAGTATACTTCCTATACGTATTTTTGGAAACGCACACACACAATGGTGTATTTCAAACAGGTTTAATAGGTTTGGGAGAGCCTTCTCACACAAAGATAGCAGTATTAGCTGTCAGCTCGGGGAATAAATGCCCTGGAATTGGATTTGTGAGGCTTTTGCTCACCTGATGGACGATGATCAGGCCACACTAAGCTGCTGAGAGGAGTGAAGATGGCCTGGCGTAAAGGGCTCTCCATACCATTGTTGAGTGAGCTGGTGATGAATGATTTCCTCTTGCTTTTCAGCGCCGCTGTCAGAGCTGTTAGATAACCCCCAGAGATTTATGGTCCTCCAAGTTATACTTTCTTCATTCCTTGCCACGGCTAAGGTTCTGTTACTCCTGGTGAAGTTTATCAGCTGAAATAAAGCTGCCCAACAGTCCAGAAAGCCCTGTTCAGTGTTACACAATAGAGTCATCCTTAACGAAGACAGTTAGGTCAGTGACCTGCTGTCAAGCATTGTGCCAAACCTGGTTAACATTCCTCCGGTGTGAGCTAGGTAGCCGGTTTCTCTCAACACCAGCAAAACTTTCTTCTGCTCATCTGGTCAGAAAATGGTCTCAAACCTGCGCTGACTGAATTCTTTGCTTTGTAATTTATGTTTGGCCTTACAGAAATATTTTCACACCGTTCCCTTCAAATTTTGTTGCTAAAAGTTAAGATACAGATGAGTCTGTCCAGGTAGATAAGTGCTTTCAGCTCATCAGACAGAAACTTTAAACACGTTCTGATGAACTCATTCACAAACTCCTTAGCTTTCCTCCTTGGTGTCTAAATGTCAGTTTATCAGCCCGTTTTCTCTCAGCTTGTCTCAACACTCGTAGCTGTATGAGCACACAGAGATCTGGAGAGAAATGTTAGAAGATAAAAGATGTCAGCCACTGGCAGATGAGCTCCTCTTCCATCAGATATTCATCAGAGGGCTTTGTCCTTTGGATGGAGTGCTTTGATGCAGAAGATGAACAGCACGCCCCTCACAGCGCTTCCAAGCAGTTCAGGCAGTTGATGGAGTCATCAGCATCCTAAAAGAGCGCAGCAGCACACAGGCTGTTTTATTCGGGGGTGAATAATTGACTGAGACAAGGAAGAGCTTTTCATATCAGCAGACCCGATCATCAATCACTGCCATTATCTCGCTCTCCTTCCTGATGTCTGTGCCGCTTGTCCACGGCCTGCTGAAGGCTCGGCTCTGTTTTCTAAACAGATTTTCTGTCTGGCATCGATTGCAAACCCGACTGCATCTGGATCCCGGCTGCTTGTAGCAGTTTTAGCTCAGCGTGTGTTTGAAAAGGTGATTTTACTTTACTGCTTACCACAAGTCTTCCTTCCCAAAGAGCTGAGAGGTTCTGACCATGAAATTGAATGTGGGTGACATCAAAACAAGAATTTACTTGTGTTTCCTCGCAAGCACATTACGGGGGGAAGGGGGGAGCTCACAGTAACTCCCTCACAGCTGTAGAGGTTCAACATAGACGCGTTTCCACAGATAGACTGTAAAAGATTGGCTCCTTACCGTTTTGGACTGATTCCATTGTTTTCTAATGTTTCTAATTTAACTTTTTACCAGGAAAGGAGATTTATTTCCTTCACCCTGATTGGTTTAAAAACCCTTCCTTTACAATCAGTCATGTTGTCCATAAATTTTTGCTTTTTTCTCAGACATTGATGAGTGCAGTATAAATCGTGGAGGCTGTAAATATGGCTGCATCAACACTTTGGGGAGTTATGAGTGTACCTGTCCACCAGGGCACAAGCTTCACTGGAACAGGAAGGATTGTATGGGTATGGAACAATACCGCCCCCTTGTGGTGAACCCACAGACACACACGCATAGCTGTGCAGCATTTGTTAGCTTGTTTAACATCCATTGATTTGATATGTGTTTTATTTCCTCTCAGAGTTGGTGAAATGCCCTCCTGGACTGGTCGCACCAAAAGCCGTGCTGACCTGCAGCAAGACGGGCAAAACGGAGAGTTGTTCAGTCACCTGTGCTTCCAAAGCGCACTATCTAGCAGGTATGTGGTCCTCTAGTCAGAGTGCAAACCAACAATGGACACTAGAAATGATGTCTTCTTGCATGTGAACACTTTCAGGAACAAATAACAGCTACTCTGTCAGTTGTGGGATCCCCAATCTCACAGGAAAGCCTCCAGCCAGGCACAACACCAGCAACAGTCAGGGCTGCATAGGTTTGTTATCTGACATTTTATTTATTCATGAATGAAACCGCTCATTAAAATCTGAGCACACTCATCTTGCATGATGCTGCTTCAGTGCTCTCCCACCCACTGAGCTGTGTTTGTCTGTAGAGACTTTGGCGCCTCCAGTCAAGCAGACGGCTTCTTTCAAGATTAAAAACGCCAAATGTCACCTGCACCCGAAGCTGACCGGTCGGACCGAGGACAGGGGACGGATGCTGGGACCGGGTCAGTAGGAGTTAGTGTACGCTGCAGTTTACAGAAAATATTTCTAAACCTAATAATATAAACCATGTCAGGTTTTGCTTTATTCCTTCTTTTCTTTTCTATTTTGCTAAGATGTTTTTTTTTTTTTACATATTTAACTTATTTTAAGATGGCAAAACTTTATAGATTCAATAGACACCTATAGTTTCATCTGCTGCTCCTCCACAACAACAGGAGTCCGTTGCGGTGGCGGGCATCTGGTTAGGATGCCTTCAGTGTTCTGGGCATGTTCGACCAGGAGGAGGCCTAAAGGAAGATGCAGGAAATGCTGGAGGGACTATGTTTCTCATCTAGCCAGGGAACACCTTAGGATTCCCCCGGAGGAGCTGGCCCAAGTGGCTGGGGAGAGGGAAGTCTGGGCCTCTCTGCTTAAGCTGCTGCCCCCGTGACCCAACACTAGAAAAGTGGAGGAAAATGGATGGATGGACACCTAGGGACAACATATTCTCCACTTAACCTGACACGTCTTTGGGCTGTGGGAGGGAAGCAAAGAACCCGGGGAAAACCCATGCATGCAGTAGGATATCTGGTTTATACAGTGCAGAAGGCCACAGCTGGAATTCGAACCTGCAACTGTCTTACTGTGATGCAACAATGGCATCTGCTGCTCCACCATGCAGCCTTAAACACTTTTGTTGTTAAGGAGTTTGTCTGTAATGATTTTGCAATTTATCCCTTTGATTATCCAGCTTCTACATCTTCATCATCCTTATTAAGCAGAAAAATCATGATCTTGCACTTTATTATTCCTTCATTAGTGCTATTCAAACCCAATATGTCCATTTCGGGCAGCAGTAGCTCAACGGGTTGAGCGGGTTGTTCAGTAATCGGAAGGTTGCAGATTCAATCCCGGCTCCGGACAGAGAATTCTGCTGTTGTGTCCTTGGGCAAGACACTTAACCCACCTTGCCTGCTGGTGGTGGTCGGAGGGACCGGTGGCGCCTGTGCTCGGCAGCCTCGCCTCTGTCAGTGCGCCCCAGGGCAGCTGTGGCTACATCGTAGCTCATCATCACCAGCGTGTGAATGTGTGTGTGAATGGATGAATGATACACTGTAGTGTAAAGCGCTTTGGAGTCCTTACTCTGAGAGGCGCTATACAAGTGCGGGCCATTTATCATGTCTATGCCAACCTGTATAAGAAAGCACAACCTGATGTCAGGGACCTTTTTGCATCCCATGACGGGTCACACCAGCATGATGACGGCATAACCTGTGCTGAAGACTTTTATGTTGATTTAATTTTCAGTTTTGCTCCTGGACTTATTCTAATTAGCATAAGTTGCAAGGTGATTTTATTTCCTCCAGCCTTTCAAACGCACCAACTTCTATTTCAGCATCTTTTGCACCAAATTGAATCTCAGCAGTCTTTCACTGGTTTTACATGATGTTTAACCCGTTTGCATGCTGTGTAAATCCGTCAAGTAAATTTAGAATAAATATTTTTACAAACTTTTTAAAAAGTCTCTAAATAAAGTCTAAATAGTCAACATGCAAATATGAGATGCATTCATATAACAGTTCTGCGTCTACAGGAGGACAGCTCTCCAGCAACTGCCAGGTAACATTTGTCAACCTCACATGCGACTCCTCCAAGAAAGCCAAAGGGCGACACACTCGCAACCCCTCCAACAAAGAGGTAACACGCATCACTCTGGAGCTGGAAGCTGAGGTCAAACCTGGAGACACCACAGGTCAGACATCCCACCTTCTGCTGAACTTTCTGTCACTTCATGCAACACATGTCATCACTGGTCAAAGTCATTTTTAAAGTGATCATTGTTACTTGTTGACCAGAAAATTGTAACCTCAGCTGCTTGCGACAGCGCATGGAGAAGCAGGTGAAGACGCACATCAAGGCTCTGAAGAAATCCATCAGCCATGAGCGTTTCCTCATCAGAGTTGCAGGTTTGGAGTACGAGGTGGCCCAAAAGCTTCCTCAGGCTGCACCCACCCAGGCACAGTGTGCCCCTGGCTCAGAGAGAACCGGAGCTGGATGCGGTGAGACCAATCTGTTTGACTCTGACCTGAGAAGCATTAGCCTGCCTCTGACTAAAGCTGTTGTGGATATTCTCTCAGTTAAATGTTTGCCTGGATCCTATTACCACGGGGGACAGGAGCGCTGTGTCCAGTGTCCACCTGGAACATTCCAGGAGAAAGAGGGGCAGCTGGCCTGTGACCTCTGCCCTGGGAGCGATGGCCATGGGCCCATGGGGGCAAGAAACATCTCCTCCTGTGCAGGTGGGCTAAAGTCTCAGTGGCAAAATGAAACCTGCATCTGTTTTCATGTTCGTTAAACAAACATGTGTCCCTGTTATCTAATCCAGGCCAGTGCTCAACTGGGTTCTTTTCCAACGATGGCTTCAAACCCTGCCAGCCATGCCCTCAGGGTACCTACCAGCCAGATCTGGGCCGGACGCTTTGCTTTCCCTGCGGCGGAGGACTGAGCACCAAGAGGGAAGGCGCCAGCTCCTTCCATGACTGTGAAGTTAAAGGTTGTGTTATTTATTTGAACTATTTTGATAATTATACCTAAAGCAATCACTGGAACAACCTCATCAAGTGTTTCTTCATTTGTATCCTGCAGTTCAATGTTCTCCGGGTCATTACTACAACACCACGGTCCACCGGTGTATCCGCTGCCCGGTGGGGACCTATCAGACAGAGTTTAGACAGAACTACTGCATTTCCTGCCCAGGAAACACTACCACTGATTTTGATGGTGCCACGAGCGTCTCTCAGTGCAAAAGTGAGCAAGAAAATGACTGTTTTAGGTTTTTATATGCACTTAACATGAGCCTAAATCTAATTTGGTTGGATTGTGTACGTCTAGACAGGCAATGTGGCGGCGAGATGGGCGAGTTAATGGGTTACATTGAGTCACCCAACTATCCCGGTAATTATCCTGCTAATGTCGAGTGTATTTGGAACATCAACCCACCCAGCAAGCGCAAGATCCTGATCGTGGTCCCTGAGATTTTCCTTCCTTCGGAAGATGAGTGCGGAGATGTGTTGGTTATGAGGAAGAACTGTGAGTCTCTCTTTTTTATGGTTGTAGATGCATTAGAGTTCAGAGTGCATGTAGTAAACAAACATCTGATCAATGTTTTTGTGGAAGGGTCAGCTACCTCCATCACCACCTACGAGACCTGTCAGACGTACGAGCGGCCGATCGCCTTCACAGCTCGCTCCAGGCGTCTGTGGATCAACTTCAAGTCCAATGAGGCCAACAGCGCCCGAGGTTTCCAGATCCCTTACGTCACTTATGATGGTATGTAGCGTCCTTGTTCTCCAGTGCCGTGTGCATCAATTCAGTTCAGTTTATGTATATAGTACCAAATAATGACAAGTCATTTCAAGACACTTCACAAAGTAAACGTTCCCATAGGGAGCCTAAGTCACTCCCGCACCACGGGTCCCCGGAAGAACGAAATAAATCCATGTAAGTCAGCGGGGCTACAAACGCTATTTTCTAATTCTGTTTGTTTTAAGCAACCTTCCGATTACGGGGCGAGCACTTAACTCCTGTGCCACCGTCGCCCGGAGGTGCTGATAGTCACATGGAGCTTAACTCCTAGAGTCACTGACCCTGAAGTACCACAGAAACCGACAGGGTTGGCGTTAGGTTAGACCTCTAAACTTCCCAAAGGTATTCAAGGAGTTTGTTTCTTGTAAGGTAAACCTTTCAAAGCTCATCCACAGTACTGATTTTCTTTCTTGTATTTAGTTACTTTGCCTTAAAAACAAATAAAAAAATGTCTAGTGACTCAGGAAACAGTCTGATCCCAGTTTTTTTCCAAGTAGTTGGAGTTTCTTTTACTCGCAGCAATTAAACTTTACAAGGTGTGTGTTGAGCCCCTCCCCTGGTAGCAGACGCTTTTATGATCCTGTGTATTTGTTCACATTAAGCAGTCTGAAACATCCCATCAAACAGTAAATGATTGTGTGCATACGTAACACGTCCTGCTGTCTCTCTGACTTCAGAGGACTATGAGCAGCTCGTAGAAGACATCGTGAGAGATGGAAGGCTCTACGCTTCAGAAAACCATCAAGAAATCCTCAAGGTCTGTGCAGCTCTTCCCCTTTTCACCCACATATCAGCTTGTTTTTACAGGAATGAGTCGATGTGATCTGTGAGACAGTATTTGTATTTCATTAACAACCTTACGGTTGTGTAGCTTGTCTTTGTGAGTTGTGTCACAGCTTTAGAGGCTTAGAGCAGGCATGTGTCTGAGTGAACGTCTCAAAGTCTGTTTGTTCTTCCTGCAGGATAAAAAACTGATTAAGACACTTTTTGATGTTCTGGCCAACCCGAACCACTACTTTAAGTACACCACTCGGGAGTCCAACGAGATGCTTCCCCGCTCCTTCATACGCCTCATAAGCAGCAAAGTCTCAGCCTTCCTGCGGCCGTACAAGTAAAACTCAGCAGCTGCTGGTGCATCACATCACCCCCCCACCCCCTGTCCACTGTCCTCACACCCCCTTCAACCTTATCGGCCCCCATTCCCACAACTCTGGCTGGACTTCCAAAAACACAACACCTGCTATCTCTCTCTCATTAATAAACACAAGGCAGACCTGTGGGGGTGGGAGAAAAACAATGAATTTGTTTTATTAGGTTTATTTCCAGTTTGCAGGTCTGCAGTCTCAAGTTTAAGCATTTAGCGGCAACATAGAGCATTTTGAGTGGGTTTGGGCTTCGTTGTGTTGAGCAATGAAACTGTTAAGAGAAGAGGGAAACACACGCCTATTTCAGACAGTAGGGGTGACATTTTTGTGTATGCCGTTCGAGCCTGATAGAGCTTGTTATTGTGTTTGTCTAAATGAGTGATGCAACCTCCAGCTCCTGTTTTTACCACCAAGTATGACTGTAAGTGTTGTGTAAGTGTTGTGTAACTCTGGTCCCATCTCAAGTGTCCGCGTGCTGTCCTCCAGGAGGAGCAGTTGTTTAATTCACGTTGCAGCTGTGTTCCAAGTCCTTCAAAGTCTGGAAAATATTTGAGCTCTTAGAGCGGTTTCAAGGCTTTTACTGTTAAAACAGTTAATCTGTGTTTTTGCTCTGTCTGTTTAGACTGTAACCGTGTTTCCTGACCTTCGGATCATTTCTTCTGCGCCCCCCTCTTCTTTTTTTTGTTTGCGTTAAATCAAAGCTAACATAAAAAAATGGGTTTACAATTCCAGGAACTAAGTGGATGTTTGTGAGATAATGGTGAGATGATGTGATGATGTGATGCCTAGTGGAACACGTCTCTGAGAGTGAGAGTAATGTCTTCGAGGGACTTTATGTTTGCTGCTTCTTTTTAAAAGGTCACTTTAACTCTTCAGTCCCATTGTTTTTCTGACATACTCTGCACACTAATAATCTGTTGGTTTAAAACAAAGCTCAGAGTTTGAGTTATAACCCGTCAGTACCTGTCGGTAGACTTCCAGTTTATTGTTTTTATTCCAGTCTTGTAAATAATGAACATAAATTAGACGAGGGTTGGATTTTTTCGACCCCGATTTGTCGACCAAGAACCTCCCAAGGAAACTGCTTTTCCCAACAGTCCCAAATCCAAAGAGCCCCGCCCTCCCACCCCCATCGCATTTATGTTTTGTCCCATTAAAGACAGCTCTTCCAAAGACCTCTGACAAAAAGGGCGGGTCGAGTAGAATTGTGCACTAAATTTGGAATCAACCATCCCTCCTTTGTTATTGCAAAGTGCAATGGATAAACCTGTCATGTGTTCATCCTGGTCACGCCCTGCTGTGATCCTCAAGGAAACTACGGCCTTATTCAGACTTCTTGTATCAAACATTTACCAGACACTATGTGCAAACGTTTTAGGCTTCAATAAGTTGCTAGTCTTATGAGGTTAATGATAAAAATAATTGGTGTGCACAGAAAAGCATGTTTGACTAAAACAGGGTAAAACAATAAAATTTTTAGTGAAAATCTAACTAATTTCCTTAACGTTGGTCTCTGTCAGAGAGATAAATTAGTATTTTGGAATATTTGCTTATATGGGTTTCTATTGAAAGTGTTAGCTTAAAGGTATAGTTAGATTTATTTTATATGTTGAAGTTGGGTTGTGTTGAGTAGTTAAGAGTAGTCTGTATCTTACCAGCTGCAGACAGCAGTCAGCGACCTCAGAAGAATCAGGTCTCATAAAATACATCATCTCTACACCTTAACTCCTCCTTTCTATTAGACATGAAAGCTTCGTGAAACTGCTGCGAAACGTACTTCGCTGCTCCGAGTTCCTTTCCACCGGCAGCAAAGTGTAATGTTTTGGACGCGCCCCAGAAGCGAAGAGGACGCTGTCATTATGTTTCATGTCTATTTTTGACACTCTACGCTTCTAAAACACGTCAAACTCTGCAGTTTAGATCAGGCCAGACAGGAAGTCAAACACAAAAGCACTGTAAACTTTCAAAATAAAAGTCAGGTGCAGATATTCATACACCATTTCCTGTGAAACCCCATAGGCGATGTAAACAGAACAGACACGCAGCTGTCTTTCTCCTTGCTTGTTATTGTTTGGACTTCTAAAGTCACACGTGGTGTTGGTGACTTAACAGCGGCGTGGAACGCTTTCCTTCCCGTTTCATATCTGAAATGTTCCTGGTTGGGAGGGAGCTTGCGGGTATTATTACATTATTTACAAGACTGTTATTACATTACACTTCACGCCCGGTGGAAAGAAGAGGTAACAGCTTCAGCAGTTTCAGAAAACACTAAACTAGGTATTGTTAAACTATTGACCACACTATTGTCCAGCTGAACAGGAATAAAAAGACACTAAATCACATTCAGCAGATTCCACATATTACTTCTTTAAAATAAATAACTATTTAAAATGCTATTGATCTAGAAATATTGGACAAATTATGACCCTTCTGGTCAGTTACACATGAGGACCACATATCTCGTGTTTTGACAGCTAATGTAGCTAGAAACATAAATATTGTTGATTTGACAAAATAGCAACAATCTCTCTCATGCAAAAGTGATATCTTATAAAAATCCCATAAATTTAGTCAGCAATTCACTTGTTTATGAGCCCTGCTCTGAGTTAGGGGTTATCTAGGTTTCCACGTCTCCCCCTACCTATGGCAGGTAAAATATTGACTACCTAACAATACTCCACTCAACCCTGATTAAATAAAACTGAACTGTCTCATTAAGAGTGTAAATCCTACCTGGCTTTGTACTAAAAAAGCACACTATTACCAAGGTAATTAGTGTGAGCTCTGATTTTCTGATGTCGCTAAATGTCAGAATTTTCTTGACCTGGCACTTCCCACAGTTCTCACAATGAAGACAAGATATGTTGCAAGAAAAGGACAAGTCAAGAGTCACAGCATATAATCCCCTCCAATACCCAGCGTATCCGACTTTTCATGAACAGAATAAAAGCTTGTCCAATTTTATGTAATTATGTTTTGTTCCTGTTTATGTAAATAAAAATCTGTTTGATGGGACACCACATCTCACCGACCGCCCCAGAAAACACAAAGGGAATTTGATTCACTGACAAACTTGAGGGCAGTTATTGGGCTAAGATGCTCATTTCTGTCACAGATGATAATCTGTGTACCCATTTGGCCCACTCACTCTCCCAAACGTCCCCTCCTCCTTTCAGAAAGAGCTTTCCTGCAACTTTTTTAATTGTTGCCTTTTAAGCGAGAGTTTGCTTTGGTGTATCGGAGTTGATAATGAATTTGCACTTGAAACGTTGCTCATGTAAAGAAATGTCTGGATTTTGTATTGTCTTTTTAAATGAATGGAAATGGTGTTCTTATTTTCTTGTAGCTTGTTTGTTCATGAGATGCTCACTCACTGTTTAGTCTATAGAGATGATACACGCTATCAGCTGTAAAAAATGAAAGGGCAAAAAAACCTATGTACAGAGAAGAATGGAACAAGTTGTTACTGCTCAAGACACTTATCGGAAATAAACATACTGTACTTCAGCTTCGTTTTAACACATTTATTTTCTTTACAGTGATGGTATACAAAAATGTCATTACAAGGAGAGTTTAACGGAATGAGTTTCGATGGCATGCATTAGCTTTGCTTGTTAATCCTCTGCCAGCTATTGTTGAGGATTTTATGCAGCTTAGATTGAATATCGCAGCGTCACACTTCAGACTGCAGATTAGCCGTTGTAGTTAAAGCTAAAATCAGCACAAACAAAAGATGGGAGGAATTAATGAAATGAAAATCTAAATAAATCATACAGAAAAAACATAAAAGAGAGAGATTACTTTCGTGGTTGGCATGAGGGAAGTTTAGGCGACCAAGTCCCTTCTCGAGTGCAGGTGATGTGTTTTGGTCCTCTGAGTGTGTAGCCCCTCCTGCACTGAAAGGAGTCGATCGTGTCGTTAGGGTTATACTTTTGTCTGTAGCCGTTCACCCAGAAGGCGTGAGGAACGTTTGGTGATGGACATGTTACAACTGTAAAAACAAAGAAACACACTTTTACTTATGCTAAATAACAGGCTTGGTTTTGCTTCAGGACTGTTCACCAACTTTCATGTCCGACTTTTTAAATGACACCATCTTATATGGAGAAAGGACTTGAAAGGAGACTTGAACATTTGTGTGATGTCACCAAACTGTAATTCAGTATCTATAAAACTGACCGTTACTGACCAGTCGGCTGTGGTGGCCATATTGAATTAGATAGTTGATGCACTTGTAGACGTACGTCCAATGTTTACTTTCTGAAAGTCTCATTGAAATTCACCCAGTGGTTCATGAGGGGAACAGACACACAGGTAGCAGTGGCTGATAGCAAAAGTGGATTGTTGGGTGAGCTTTGAAACCTTTGCATTGTGGAGGCGGTGCGCTCCATGTCCCGTTTTCGGTGCACCATATATGTGATGGTCCGTCGAGGATTCCCTCCAGACAATAATAGATGAGCACGTTACTGTAGCTGTAAGGCGCCTCCTGGATGTTTCTCCTTGCAGCATTTGTTTTAATCGGCTCTTCGCACTTTATGACTGCAAGCAAAACAGTGATTTAGAGATACCTCAAGACTTTGGAGAAAACCACCAGCCACCACCCTTATTCATGAACTGTATGAGTAGTCTGACCACACCTTCACAAACAGGAGTACGTCCATCCCATCCTTCACTTTGGCACACTCTAGTGCCTTGTCCTACAAGTCTGTACCTAAAGAGAGAAATAAAAAAGCATTAAAGGGAACGATAGCATGTTAGAGAGCAGAATGACACAGAGGATCATGCTTACCCCTTATTACACACAGCTGTAGCTTTTTCTCCAAAATGTATGCCAGAATAAGTAAAATGTCCATTTTCAAACTCTCCTGCATGTCCACAAGACATCCCTTTTGACAGTAAAAATAAAATTGTTAATTTTGTGTTAAGTCCACTGCAAGACAAAATAAACAATCACCCCACAAAAGGACAGGATACATGGCAGTGAGAGTTCTATTGTCTTCTAAATAATTTTACTTCCCTTTTCTTTCCCTGTGTTGGTGAGCTACACATTTAAAACCTGCTCACTTGAGAATCTACTAAATGTGTAAATGGTCTGTATTTGTATAGCGCCAACCCCCCAAGGCGCTTCACAACACATCAGTCATCCATTCATGTACATACTGGTGGTGATGAGATATAATGTGGCCACAGCTGCCCTGGAGTGCACTGATGGAAGCAACACTGCCAAACACTGGCACCACTGGTCCCTCTGACCGCCACCAGCAGGTTAACTGTCTTGCCCAAGGACAACCCGCTCTTCCTCCTGAGCTACTACTGCTCTAAACAACTGTGAGTAATTTTGAAGTCTGGTTTTCCAACTGTAAGTGCAGTTTACATGAAAGGTCTGCACCAGTCAGGTTAAACAGCAATCCAGATGTTTGAAGTCTATGATCAGATTCAGCCCAAAAGCACAATAAGCTGACTGTAACTCAGACATGAATCCAAACAGGGCAGCAATCCTTTAGAAGTACCTAAAGAAGGAAATAACTGATCATGTTATCACAAGGTCACAGCTCAGATATTTTGAAAACCAATATCTTTTATTGTGTAAGCGCCGTAGTTTACGGTTATGGTTATCACAGTTTTGTGACTACATGATAATTCGGTAACTTCTTTTCAGAATTCAAAAGCTTTCATAAAGTTTTAAACAGAAGGTTTTGATGTTCCTACTTTCACAAATCAGTGTCAGTGGCGTCCAGATCCCGTTGAAGCACATACGAAGCCTGCTGCCACCAACTGAAGTGTACCCAACGTCACAGCGGTAGTAGACTCTATCACCAGAGGAAAACGATGTCTTGAAGGTGTACTTGTTGGATAGTCTGACATTGGAGCCGCTGGCAGCTGGTGGGGCTTGACATCCAACTTATGATCAGATTTTACAAAAAGATTAGATTCAACAGGAGTTTGATTGGGAGTCCATCCCACTGCACAACAGTAAATAATCACAACTGGTCATCAGGTAGAACACAAACTCACCTTTCTGGTCGGTTAACTGTTGAGTTTCAACTTTTGATGCCACACAACGCGGAGGCTGAGGCTGCCACCGACCAGAGGGCCTGCAGGTGATCGTCTGAGCTCCATTCAACTGGAAACCCTGCTTACAGGTGAGGTTCATGATATCTCCCACAAAGTATTTTGAAACACCACCTTTCTGCACAGAGTTGTCCACTGTTGGGGCAGTGCAGGTCTCTAGTGAGACAAAAATAATCTCAGTTATTATACAGAAATATATTAATGAGCAGTGATCAGTAGGTGAAACTAATCTAGTTAGGATCTTCTGGGGCAACCCAGAAACCACAAGCATAGTATAAACTGGAACACTGGTGTCTCTGTCCACAGTGGAATCTACTGAGAAGGTGTCCACCAAGAAAGAAGCTCCTGCTCTAAATGAGAAAAGCTTCAAACTCAACCATGAGCAAGACGGATATATTATGAGGAAAGGTTTGATAGTACAACGAGACAAAGATGAGCCACTCAAGAAAAATATTTGGTGTGCGGGAGCTTTTAGAACTAAGAGCACAGCACCAACTGTGAAGCACGGTGGTGGTGGCATCATGATGTGGGATTAAGGAGAAGTTCTACCTCTAATGTCTTCAGCTATTTGAAACGTCAACACGGATGGCCTCAAATGCTTCTGAGAACAGGTTTCTGGTTGGATAAAGCAGCCTAACGTTAAGCTTTTAGAATAACTTTTTCAAGACATCAACTCCACCCCTTTAGAAAATTATTGGACTAGTCAAACGTTAGCTAGAATTATCACAGAAGCTTGTTGATGGATGACAGCATTCATGCTCATGATGAGTAAACACATGACTGAAATTGTAGGAAAAGAAAACAATTAATGAATTAAATGGATCTACGTCACATTTAGGCTGTTACTCATGGTTAACAATGCCACCTACAAGCACACACACACACACACACACACACACACACACACACACACACACACACACACACACACACACACACACACACACAGAGTCATAAACCTGTTCTGCTGCCCACCTTCACAAGACGGGAATTCACCGGCCCATCCAGAACTCTTACATATCCTGTAATTTGGCCCCTTCAGAGCATATCTGTCAACAAGAACACAGTCAAACACACAATAGCTGTCATGTCCACCAGCTGCACTTCAGTTCCTTTATTTTACCCTGTTTTACAATCAGCATAAACTTTTTCTCCAATGAATCCTTCCCCTTCGTGTAGAAACTCCCCGTTGGGTAGGTCACCAGCGTTGCCACACCTAATCTCTGTCAAGAATGAAACAGATTAAATGGTCATTCTCAGATGGGTGTTTTAATTTTATCTCATACAAGCTGCTGCAAATCCTGTTTCCTAACCCTAACCACAACTATGTGGGTGGAAGCTGTACACTTCATTTAAAACTAGAAGAGCAGATAACTGGAGAGGTAGCTATTTACAATAAATAACGTGAATTAACTATCATAACTGAACTGTGATGTAAAGCTAAAACCAACAAAATGTGCAGTTTATCATGTTGACTCTGGATGTACAACTGAACCAAAGAACAGTAGACCATTTAAGGGTTTTATTTTTGCTCAAAGGTACTGGAGATTAGATTCAAATACACTCTACTTGTGTTTTTTAGAATAAAAAATAGATTACAATTAGTATTTTAATTGTCTGATTATTTGATATTTAGAATAATTTAATGAGTTTTAAATTTAAGTTTTATTTAAAAAAAATTGAGAGAAATTCAACAATTTTGACAGCAACACACGTTATTCTGTCCAGTACAAACACGCTCTTTCCAAGCACTTTATCATAAAACTTGTAGAACAACATTATCGGCGCTGGAGAAAAACAAACATCGTTTTCTTGTGGCTGATCCAACAAAACCAAAGTCAAACATGAGGTTAAAGAAAAGTCACAGGGTCTTAAAGTTGTCTGTGTATGGTTTGTTTTCCACCAGGGACAGCAGGAGGGACAGTGAGGTGTCCAGTAATCTGAAGGTTGCAGGTTTGATCCCGGCTCTGACTAGAATGCTACTGTTGTGTCCTTGGACACTTACCGCCTTGCCTGCTGGTGGAGGGACCGGTGGCGCCTGTGCACGGCAGACTCGCCTCTGTTAGTTAGTGCACCCCAGGACAGCTGTGGCTACATCCTAGCTCATCATCACCAGCGTGTGTATGTGTGTGTGAATGGGTGAAGGACTCATTGTGTTGTGAAGTGCCTTGGGGGGTCTACAACCCCCCAAGAAGGCACTATACAAATACAGGTCATTTACCATTAACCCCTGGTGTGAAAGACGTGTTATAACTAGGAAAAACTCGTTGAGAAGAAAATCTAAGAAAACAAAATTATAACTCTAAGGGAAAATTCTGAGCTACAGCCAAAACTATTAGTTTTAATTTCAAATCTATACATAAAGTTATAATTCTAAATGTAATATACATAATTCAGAGTTTCAAATTGGCCTACATGATAAAATTACAGACAAAAAGTCATGAATGTTACCATGTGGGCAACATGAGACCATCTAAGGAACATCATTTTTGGCCAGTAGAGGGTGTTAAAGACTGATTTCAATCACAGATTAATTACATCTAAGTTTGATGTTAGTTGACATAAAAGTGACTTTTTCCTCTTACTTTCACATTCCAGAGACAGTTTGGTCCATTTTCCGTCCACACACTGGACAGAACGGGACCCTTTGACGGCGGTGAAGTCCTCTGCGCAGTGGTAGAAGACCTTCTCCCCGCTCCTGAAGACGCTCCTAGACTTGCTGGGCAGCTGTGCGTGAGGGTACTCCAGCGGGGAGGAACATTCACCTTCGTCCCGAGCGGTGCGCTTGCTGGCTCCTGAAAGCAACAACAGTCACTATGGAAAAACACGCGCGAGTGCTAAAAGACACAGTTCCTGGAAGTTACCTAAAGCAATGAAAGCAAACGACAACAACACGACAGTCTCAGCGGTGTTCATGTCTGGTGTCCGCAGCTGGAAGCATCAAAATGCCAGCAGGAGTAACAGATGGCGCCTTTATAGAGGAAGGCTGGCACGGTGTGTGTGTGTGTGTGTGTGTGTGTGTGTGTGTGTGTGTGTGTGTGTGTGTGTGTGTGTGTGTGTGTGTGTGTGTGTGTGTGTGTGTGTGTGTGCAGGTCCTTTTCATAAAAATAACATATTGTGATAAAGTTAATTATTTTCTGTAATGTACTGATAAGCATTAGACTTTCATATATATTAGATTATTGCACACAACTGAAGTAGTTCAAGCCTTTTATTGTTTCTAGTGTTTCTAGTGTTGATGATTTTGGCATGCAGCTCATGAAAACCCAAAATTCCTATCTCAAAAAATTAGCATATTTCATCCGACCAATAAAAGAAAGGTGTTTTTAATACAAAAAAAAGTCAACCTTCAAATAATTATGTTCAATTATGCACTCAATACTTGGTCGGGAATCCTTTTGCAGAAATGACTGCTTCAATGCGGCGTGGCATGGAGGCAATCAGCCTGTGGCACTGCTGAGGTGTTATGGAGGCCCAGGATGTTTTGATAGCTGCCTTAAGCTCATCCAGAGTGTTGGGTCTTGCATCTCTCAACTTTGTCTTCACAATATCCCACAGATTCTCTATGGGGTTCAGGTCAGGACAGTTGGCCGGCCCATTGAGCACAGTAGTACCATGGTCAGTAAACCATTTACCAGTGGTTTTGGCACTGTGAGAAGGTGCCAGGTCATGCTGAAAAATGAAATCTTCATCTCCATAAAGCTTTTCAGCAGATGGAAGCATGAAGTGCTCCAAAATCTCCTGATAGCTAGCTGCATTGACCCTGCCCTTGATAAAACACAGTGGACCAACACCAGCAGCTGACATGGCACCCCAGACCATCACTGACTGTGGGTACTTGACACTGGACTTCAGGCATTTTGATATTTCCCTCTGCCCAGTCTTCCTCCAGACTCTGGCACCGTGATTTCTGAATGACATGCAAAATTTGCTTTCATCCAAAAAAAAAAGTACTTTGGACCACTGAGCAACAGTCCAGTGCTGCTTCTCTGTAGCCCAGGTCAGGCGCTTCTGCCGCTGTTTCTGGTTCAAAAGTGGCTTGACCTGGGGAATGCAGCACCTGTAGCCCATTTCCTGCTTACGCCTGTACACGGTGGCTCTGGATGTTTCTACTCCAGACTCAGTCCACTGCTTTCGCAGGTCCTCCAAGGTCTGGAATCGGCCCTTCTCCACAATCTTCCTCAGGGTCCGGTCACCTCTTCTTGTTTTGCAGTTTTTTCCCACACTTTCCTTCCCACAGACTTCCCACTGAGGTGCCTTGATACAGCACTCTGGGAACAGCCTATTCCTATAGAGATTTCTTTCTGTACCCTCTTGCTTGAGGGTGTCAATGATGGCCTTCTGGACAGAAGACAGTTTTTTTTTTTGCAGTTTTGAGTAATGAACCAGGCTGGGAGTTTTTGAAAGCCTCAGGAATCTTTTGCTGGTGTTTAGAGTTAATTAGTTGATTCAGATGATTAGGTTAATAGCTCATTTAGAGAACCTTTTCATGATATGCTAATTTTTTGAGATAGGAATTTTGGGTTTTCATAAGCTGTATGCCAAAATCATCAATATTAGAAACAATAAAAGGCTTGAACTACTTCAGCTGTGTGTAATGCATCTAATACATATGAAAGTCTAATGTTTATCAGTATATTACAGAAAATAATGAACTTTATCACAATATGTTAATTTTTTGAGAAGGACCTACACTCAACAAAAATATAAACACAGCACCTTTTTTCTGCTCCGATTTTTTCATGAGCTGGACTTAAAGATCTAAAATTCATTCCAGATACACAATATTACCATTTATCTCAAGCATTGTTCACAAATCAGTCTAAATGTGTGATAGTGAGCACCTGTGATTTGCTGAGATAATCCATCTCACAGGTGTGCCACATCAAGATGCTGATCTGACATCATGAGTAGTGCACAGGTGTACCTTATACTGCGCACAATAAAAGGCCACCCTGGAATGTGCAGTTTTGTCTCACAGCAAACTGCCACAGATGCCACAAGCATTGAGGGAGTGTGCACTTGGCATGCTGACAGCAGGAATGTCAACCAGATCTGTTGCTCGTGCATTGAATGTTCATTTCTCCACCATAAGCCGTCTCCAAAGGCATTTCAGAGAATATGGCAGTACATCCAGCCAGATTCACAACCACATATATATATATATATATATATATATATATATATATATAAAATAAGTTTTATGTGTAATGAAATACTGTGGGTACAGGAAGTGTTCAAGCCCCCTTCAATTTTTCATTCTGTTATTTTGCAGCCATTCACAAAAATCAATTAAATTCAGTTTTTCTGCATTAATGTGCACACAGCTCATTGGCAGAAAAACACAGAAATTTATGCAGAATTATTTTAAAAAGACAACCTGAAATAGCACATAGTCCTAAGTATTCAGACCCTTTGCTTTGTAGAAGAGTCATTTTGAGCTAATGCTGCCATGAGTCTTCTTAAAAATGCAACAAGTTTCTTGTCCCTGGATTTTTGGGATCCTTTACCCTTCCTGCTGGCAGATATTCTGAGGTTGGATGGTTAACATTGGTGGACAGCCATTTTTAGGACTCTCAAGATATGCTCAATTGTGTTTAAGTGACGCTCTGGCTGGGCCACTCATGAACCGTCACAGAGTTGCCATGAAGCCACTTCTTTATTTTAGCTAAACTCCATGCGGGCTTTCATGTGTCGTGCACTGAGGAGGCTTCTGATGGGCCACTTTGCCATAAAGCCATCTATGCCTCTGTTGTAACTTTGTGTGTGTGTGTGTGTGTGTGTGTGTGTGTGTGTGTGTGTTCTACAACTTTTTCCTATCTCCTGACCTGACTGCATTTTTGGAGCTCAGCAGCAGTGATCTTTGGGTTCTTCTTTATCTCTCACCAAGGTTCTTCTCCCCGGTAGCTCAGTTTGGCCGGGCGGCCTGCTCTAGGAGGGGTTCTGGTCGTCCCAAACATCTTCCATTTAAGGATTATGGAGGCCACTGTGCTCTTAGGAACCTTAACTGAAGCAGAGATGTTTTTGTAACCTTGGCTAGATCTGTGCCTTGCCAGTTTTGTCTCTGAGGCCTTCACACAGGTTCCTTTGACCTAATAGGGAACCTATGAAAAAAATGAATGCAAGTCAAGGGGACTAAAAACGCTATTTTCCAATTCCACTTATTTTGTGCCATGGATTTCACATATGATGTCAGTGAATTTTAAAGTAGCATTTTGATACCAAGAACGCACTTACTTTCAAACAGAGGGGAAACGCTATTTTAGGTTTTGTGTGAAAATAAGTCCAGGACTACAAATGTGCTTCACCAAAGTGACGTCACCGAACGAGACACGGAGAAAACTGAGGGAAAAGGGCTGTTAGTTCAGCAAACTTCAAATCCTTCCTTCAGTAAGAAAGAACCACCATAAATCTGTCCACATGGTAAGTAGCAGCTACGCTAGGGGAGAGGAGATTCTGTGGTGATGTCACATATAGTATCGGCATACGTGCCGATTTCTGGTTTGTAGTCATGCTAATTACAAACTTTTACAAGCTGATAAATCTCAAAGTACGTGACTGGCGTGGTTGAAACACCCATAATTAGTTTTCCTTTAAATTCCAGCACAACATATGTGCGATCCAGGGTCTAAGGCAAAGCGGATTAGAAAATATCTCTTTTATCCCCGTTGACTTGCATTCATTTTTTCGTTTTTCCGGGGACCCGAGAGCCGACCAGAAAGGGAGGAGACTTAGGCTCCCTATGATTCTCATTTGCTCTGGCATGCATTGTGAACTGTAAGGTCCTAAGTATCCTAAGGTCATATAGACAGGTGTGTGGCTTTCCTAATCAAGTCCAGTCAGTAATATCAAACACAGCTGGACTTCAATGAAGGTGTAGGACCATCTCAGGGGTGATCAGAAGAAATGGAAAGGTCCTGAGTTAAATATGAGTGTCACAGCAAAGGGTCTAAATACTTAGGGCCATGGGATGTTTCAGTCGTATTTTTTAATAAATCTGCAGAAATTTCTAAAATTCTGTTTTCCTGTCATTATGGGGTGTTGTGTGTTCATTAATGAGGAAAAAATAAATTTTATTGATTTTAGCAAACCGCTGCAATATAACAGAGTGAAAAAATGACGGGGGTCTGAATCCCTTCCATATACACTGTATGTGCAAAGCTTTAATGGGCTAGAAGACATAAGACTGACTGAACATGTGCTGAGAAACACAACCAAAAACATTACTTCTAACCCATCTGCTTGAGACAAAGACTGATAAATAGCCAGGCAAGTTGAACTTTATCCTATTATTTATTTCTTAGATTATTTAACTTCTCCCTAATCGACACTCATGGGCCCGGTCTCTGTGGGCTTTAGAAGAAAGTGTTTCTCTTGATTAGAGATTTAACAGTTCCGGGATTTATCTGGATTCATGATGTACCAAATGTTATCTAAAGTGAACTAGTTCGGCATCTAAACCCTACAAAAAAGTTACAGTTATGAATGTTTGACTGTTTTAAAAGAAAACTGTTAGGCTTTATAAAACATGTATAAACAACATTATTGGTAATTTTGACATAAGGATTGTAAAAACAATTAAATCCATTAAACAATTATAGAAGCCAACATCCACGGACTCCTGTACTATTGAATCGATTTATTTAATACTCTAGATTGAAAACATTACATGTTCATCCTGTCTTCTATGCAGACACAGGCCACGACTGCTTCTCTGTAGCCCACAGAAACCTTGTCTAAGATATGTAAGGGATTTTGTGATATTTTACAAGGAATGGCTTTATTACTGTACAGTTTTAGTGTAAACACTTTGAACATTAGGTTAACTTACACTGGTAAACATTTCACACTCATTCAACAGGTCATATAGGAAGGTTTGCTGTTGCTGTAAACCATCTTTCATGCATCAGAATCTTGAATTTCTCTGCTAACACGATGCATCAGACTGACTCACTCTGACCCAACTAGTTTATTAGGTTGATTTTATGTCTAACTCTTTCCATTTGGTCGGTATTTTGCACCACATAAAGCTCATGATTCAGAATTATTTAAATCAGCGGTAACTTCAGAACGGATCCAGAACTTATCTGACTCCAGTGACTGAAGGACAGTCACAAATAATGTGAAATCAGTGGCTCAGAATTACTGATTACGTCTCTTCCGCAGCTCCAGGTCTCTGATGACCCACCTCACTGACAAAAACATTTCCATTTAGGGCAGTTATCATAAAATGTGAACTGGTTGTATTTATTTACTCTGCTTAGAATTTAGATGAGGCTGTTGGGTTACATGTTTGTTCACCAGATATAAATAAAATCTGAAGGGGTGTCTATGATTATTACAAACTCCACAGGAAAGGGTTGCACACACGTTGCATCACTTGTTGGCTGCACCAACAAAACCTCAGAGAAACTTTGACATTGATTTGTCTATGAATCGACGGTAGAGACCGGTGACTTGTTCTGGGGTTTAGGTTACTCCCAATGAGCACGCACCCACCCACCCACACACACACACACACACACACACACACACACACACGAACATGACTAAATGAAAGCTTTTCACTTATCTTAAATAATAGAAAAAACAAAAGAAAATTCTTATAAAATTCCATTTATTGGTAAATTGTGCACTGAATTACAATAAAGCTTTTCATCAGGGAATGTTTGTCTGCCATAAAATGTTTGTAAGTAGTCAAATACAGGCACTTTTGCCAATCACCAATATAAAAAAATCACCATAATCAGTAAAAATCCAGAAATACGGAGCAGCGTGGTAGACTTTAAATGTTTTTAACTTTTATTTTACTGAAGAAATGTGGACAACATTATTTAAAGACAAAAACACAGATGTAAAATAAATGAACATTCACCACAAATTAAAAGGAGTCACAGAAGCCTCTTTTTTTCATAAGGCTAGACAGAACATTTCATTTAGTTTTTACAGCTTTTGTCTGCACATTGCAAAAGAAATGGCCATTTTCTGAGTTAAATCAGTCAAAAATAAAAGTCCGTCATACACTAGAGGAAGGACACATGTTGTTTTGGAATATTTCCACAGAAAAGTTACAAATAAAGCTTTTATAAAGACAAATAAGAGCTGTGCATGGCTTTCTCCAGAGAAACCAAAGGTATTTTTAATATAAAATCTATCTGTGAAGATTTTCTGCAATAACACTTAAATTACACTTTGGGGTGTTAAAATGAGATTCATTTTATTATAAATCGTTATCATAATTTAATAATTAATTTGTATTTTAAAATAATCACAGTCCAAATTGAAAGATAATCACAAAAGCACATTCAAATGCATGTTAAAATAAAACATTTAACCCAGAATCGCTGTCATGGTTACACAGATCTAAGCTGTGATACAGTAGATAGACTGGCTGGCTAACAAAGCCAACTTACAAAAGCAAAAATGGCTATGCTGAAGGGAGGAGAAGGGGAACAGATGTTTCACGCTGTAGATAGAAGGAAAATACCTCTTCATGTGCTTTTTAGGACCTTCTCTCCATCTTCCGTGTTTGGGGCTTTGCAGCCATTTGTAGAGTCCTGCCAGATGGAAACAGAACATGGAGAAAGTGGACGGCATGAACACTAACACCAAACAGGAAAGAGGTATTTGTTTTGATTGGCCGAGGTAAAGCTAACACTGAACTTTCAGGTTAGAAGTCAGACGTTCTGTGGCTGCAGTCCTGAGTTCCCTCAGTCAGGTTAAGAAAGAGCACTTTGTTTATGCGGCAAAAGAATAACTGCAGGGGAAACTAAAAACATTCACCACTGCAAGCTAAAAATAACATTCACCAGTTCAGCTGCTCCTTAAAGTCAATTTAAAAGTACTGTGTTCCTAAAGCACCTTCCACATTGGTGAGAGAGTCCACCTATTCACCAGGTCTCTGCAGAACCAGGGGATGGGGACAGCAGTCCAAAAAGCCAGTTCAGTCACTCTGTGTGGCATCAGCTCTAACTAACGACCATGACTAACAGCCCTGGTTTAGCACCTGATTGTACTGCACAAAGTAAACATGGATACTGCGAGGACAGAAGTAACAGAGAGAAAGACAAAGGTTCCTCAGAGTGAGCTGCAGGTCTAAAGGGATAAAGAAGTCCCTTCAGACTGGAGCTCAGTGGTTTATTTCCAGCTTTAAAGGCATGGTTCACTGAAAAAAAAAACATTTTTTAATTATTATTTCTGATTAAAAACGATTACTTTGAGTTTTCTATGTAGGCTGAACATAAAAACAGTCTCCTATACCTATCGCCTGCATTAGCTTTTGATCGAAACTAGACGGTGAAAATCTAGGATTTGAAAAGTCTGACAGACCTACATCCAGGGTCCGAAATTAACACTCGCCACTCGCCAAATGCGAGCAAATTGCTCCATTTGGCGAGTAAATTTTTGAGCTCTACCTGCCACCTGGCGAGTAAATGTTTGCACCAAATTAGTTATGTTTATCAGTCATCTTCCATGGATGTCTGATACTCCTCCCGCCTGCATGCAACGTACACAAACATACGCAAAATGTGAGCGCCGCATCCAACGTCATTTCCACCTATCCCATTCAATCAGTTTATCAAGTTAGCCGTTAGCTTCGTGTTAAAACTAGCGGTGAAATGTGGCGGTTTTTAACTGGAGTCAGCCAGCCTTCCAAAAGAAAACTCGTCGAACTAGAAAAACCACCAGGACCAGTGGCAACCAGAAGATTTTGTGAAAAGTGGCGAACTGGAGACGGCGGAGTCGTGAGACAATGGCTACATTATGATGGCCACGTAGCGTTGCTGCCTTTAACAGACAACTGTCCCTCGGCATTCTTCAAATATCCAAAAAATGCCCATACTTCCGACTTTGTCTTCTTTGAAGGATAATAAATGTCCCGAGTGCTGCCATCTCCTCCTGCCATTATTTCAGCTTTAGCTTAAAGAAAGTTTTGGTCGTAAACAACAAAGTGCGCATGTGCCGCCGGTAACTTCAGATGATACGGTGGCTGGTAAGGGTCACCGCGCCTACACCGCAGTCACGGTAATCCACCGAGATAATATATTTTTTTAAAAACAAGACGATTATTATTATTGTCAACTTTTTTACCGGGGTTTACCGCTACACCGGTTACCGTGACAACCCTAGCCCTGACACACTTTCAGATATTCTCATGGTGCAGCTGTGTTCTCCAGAGATCAAGGACTAGGACCCAAATGAGGCTGTAATGCTTTGGCACAAAGACGGTGTCAGAAGCAGGAGGCCAGACTTCATGGACAGAGAAAACAAGGAGTCTGACTAGATTTCAATGAAAGAGTTCATAAAAACATCTCTAAAAATAAATAAATAAATAGTAAAAATGACAAAAGAGTTGTTTTTCTTATTAATTGATGTTTTAATTATTTTGTCACTCTGTTTGGAATCAACATAATATAGAATAACATGCTTTAGGTAGATCTAAATCATTTAGAATTTTGGCCGGTAAAAAATATGCTTGGCCGGTAGATTTTCATCATCTACCGGCCAACTTGGCCGGTGAGTAAAAAATTTAATTTCAGACCCTGCCTACATCACACTGTCACTTAACATTCATGGACTCACCCATTTTAATTTGTTACAAGCAAGGCTGTTGTTGGTTTAGAGTCCAGGAATCAGCAGAGAACGTCTCGGCCTAGTAGATGCTAACGGTTAGCATTAGCAACTCCACCATATGGCAAAACTCCTCTAGGTTTATGTTATTTGTGGAGATAAAACATCAATGTTGAAAAGAAAATTGAGTGACTGGCACAGTCAGATTGTTGTTAGCCAATCAGAGGTGAGATGCCCAAATATCAGGATATAAGACTCCAAATCCTGTCATCTGAAGCTCTCCTCTGATCTAGCAACCTTCTACATTCATTCGTCGCCTAAAGGCTCTTAACCCTATCAGAACCAGTGAGGCCTACGTTCTTTAAAGTGCTACGCCTATACTCATAGAATCTGGGGTTACAGTATGTAACCTTCATTGTATTTTGTAAAGTGTCTACCGATCTCTATGTGGTGGTGCTACACCATACTTGGCAGCACTATTAACACAGCACACCTATCACAATCTATATGCTCAGCTGAGCTAGAGCTACTGACTGTTCCTCACTCCCAGTATAGATCTAGAGGAGATCGGGCTTTCTTTGTCTTGGCTCCATCCCTCTGGAAAGAGCTGCCACTCAGCATCAAACAGTCACCCTCACTGCATGTCTTCAAGGGTCGCTTGAAGACTCATTTTTATCGTTTGACTTTTATGTGACTTGGCTTTATGCTTCTTATCCTTCTTTGCTTCTATGTTTGTATGTGATTTTTAGGACATTTTATCACTCTGTTTTTATTTTAATCTACGTTATGTTCAGCGCCTTGGGCTTCCGCAGAGGCAGTGGAAGGCGCTCTATAAATAAAGCTTGATTGATCGATTGATTGGTTCTAATCCTGAAACAGGGCTCTTTGGACTTACAAAGTGTTCATTCCTACTAGAGACCATTGCAAAAGTGTAGATTAAATGAGTGAACCACACCTTTAATACTCAAACCAGGACCAGGACTCTTGTTTTTGTAGTCTTCATTACATTCAATCATCTTCTTATTTTCATGTTATTATTTGAATTTGAATTCTGATCACCTACGCATGGATTATGCTTTCATCGTTCACACATTTTAGATTTACTAGAGTACTTTATCTGTAATCTCAAAGCTATAGCCGATTAGTGTTAGTCTGGGTATAGGGAGACATACTCAGAGACCCTTGAGAAATCCTGTTAATACCATACTTTTATTTTGATAAGAGGGGACATGAAATTGAAACATTCTAAAATGTATCCATGAAAATATCAGCTTTTCACTCCCTTTATTCTGTTTTTCAATTAATATTTTATATATATTTCTCACAAATACACTGGTGGTATAAACTAATCCAGCAGTTGAATCCATTTTACACATTCACTTATAACAATCACATCTGTTACTGACACTGACCTCTTTCTGTAGTAATTCAGCTGCCTCAAACATATCAGAAAACCGCAAGCTGGGAAAAGTAGGACTATGATACGTGTGGGAGTGTTGTGGGTTTCCCACGCTGTAGAGACGAGGACGCTTAATCTGATCCTGGGTGGACAGCGGATCAAAACTGTTCCTGCGCACGAAAGGCGGTGGCATGGTGTTCTTTCTGACTTTCTTCTGCTTGGGGAAAGACACAAACAGAGCGAGTATTAGCAAACGTCTTCAGTTTTGTTGTGTTTTACAACCCTTTAGTGAGAAGAATACAATGGGGGGTTTAACTGTAAAAATAAAATGTTTTGTCTCAAAATTTGTGAGTGTGTGTGTGCGTGTGTGTGTGTGTGTGTGTGTGGGGGGGGGGGGGGGGGGGGGGCTGTAAAAATAAAATGTTTTGTCTCAAAATTTGTGTGATGTCTAATGTTTGTCTCAGAGAAAAGTGGGCACTGTCGTACATTCAGTGTGTAAATCATTGTGTTCGTTAGACAATTGTGTTTTCAGTTTTGCTCTTCAGTGTTCTTTCCATGCTTGGTAGTGTTCACCCAAACGCTACTTGTGTTTAAGCAATGAATGGTATGTGTGTGTCATGTGAAAATGTGGCTGTGTTTACCAAATGAAAACACGTGTTCCGTTTTGGGAACATGTTACGATATGTGGTGGCAGGGTTTTGTTGCAAAGGGAAGCCACGGTTTAGGAATTTGTGTGTTATGTTTGGGGTTTTGTGTGTACAGTTTTGAAAAACGTGTTTTAGCAATCGAAAAAAACTAGGGGTGCTCCGATTGATCGGCCACAAATAATTATCGGCTGATTTTCCTGCAAAAGTGTGTGATCTGTGATCGCCGATCACTGCCTTTCATTTCCGATCTGGCACTGGCGCTTACTCTTCCCGGCCGGTAGTTCACCCTTCCGCTTCTCCCCGCTTAGTGCGCATGCGCGTGGCGGCAAACCCGCAAAGACAAACATATCTGCCGTGTGGAACTTCTTTACGGTGTGCGAGAGTGATATTAAGTTTGCGTCTTGCAACACTTGCAACGAAAACATACCCCGCGGAGGAAGCACTTCAAAAAAATTCAACACAACGAATTTGATCCGACATTTAAAGACTAAACTCTTGGCGGAGCATGGTGAGTTTTTGAGGCTCACCGCAGACAATGAAAAGATGCCTGCTAATGCAGCCACAGTCAGACGGCAGCTAACGCAGCCGACGCTTGGAAACACTCGCCCATATGAGCGTGACAGTCAAAAGGCTAAGCAAATTACCCGTAAAATCATCAAGTTTATTGGACTAGACGACCAGCCTTTTTCAGTTGTGGAAGACGCCGGATTCCGCCGACTACTAACCCACTTGGAACCTCGCTACATGCTACCGGGACGTAAATATTTTGCCGACGTAGCCCTTCCAGAGCTCCACCAGACAGTGTATTCTTTCATCGAGGGACTCCTTAAAGAAAGCGTCTCATCCTCTGTGAGTTTCACAAGTGACATTTGGAGCTCAGATGTCAGTCCTGTGTCAACGCTGAGCTTAACAGCTCGCTGGATGTATCTGAACGTATCCTTGGTTACTTAATTTGATTTAGGCGGTGATGTGAGATATTGACTTTTGTTGCACTATTTGTAGCCTAAAGAGAGCCTTAATGTTTTCAATTTCTTATAAATTGTTACTGATATTACATAATTTTAAGTGAAGTAAAACCATGTTTTTTCTGAATTAATATGTAACACATGCATTAGAACTCACCATAGCTAAATGAACAATTTACAGCCAATCTATGTAATTGGTATCAGTAATCGGCTGATCGGCCTCTTGGCTGATTGGTATCGGTGATCAATAGATTAAAGCCTGATCGGAGCATCCCTAAAAAAACTGTAACAGTATTCGTGTGATCGGAAATGAAATCCAATGTAATTCTGAGATGCATGTGTGGCTGTGGTATGCCTCAAGGTGCAGCAAGATTTAGTGTGAACTCTGATGCTGACCATCTAGTTAAGTGTTTTTGTAAGCTAGAAACTAACTTTATGGTATAATTTTGGTTTGAATCCCTACGAATAGGCCTGCCTCAAGCAGTTTGTCCTGTCAAGACAAGTTACACATTAGATGCACAGAATGGAAAATGAGACAGGCTGCAATTGGTGTGATCTCTGAAAGAGGATTTGTCAAGAAACACGTTTTAAAACAACTTACTAATGGTCTGTCTTTGTGAGTGTTGACAGCTTCCACCTTCAGGTCAAACATCTCCACTTTACAACCTTTAGGACAAAGTTGGTGCATCAAGTCATCAACAACAAGAAAACCAAAGTAAAAGAGCAAACATTGGTTCATTTCTGAGCTGGATGATGACTCACCGTAAGCCACCGGGGTGAGTTTGAGGACAGTGTGTAAAGGACACTTCATGTATGGTAGGTCATCTGAGGAAAAAACAAGAGTGAGAGTGAGACTTAGTTGGTTTGTGGTGGTTTCCTGTCATGTTTTATTGGCTTCTCCTAAATCTTTTCCTCAGAAGTCCCACCCAGAGATGGAGAAGAAGCTTATGCTGTGCTTTATGAAGTGTCCAGCTCATACTGCTGTGGTCCAGCCAGCTCACTGAGTGGGAGCAAGTTCAGACTAAATGCCAGTCAGAGCAGCACCCACTCTTTGGTTTCTGTGCTAACAGATGCTAAATCAGGGACCCTTTCCTCTGGAACCCAGCCGGGACA